GAATGTCGTTCTCACAGGCATGTCTGCATGCAGTGTCTTGCCTTTTGGCTGCAGCATGAGGTCAGAGCCCATTTTTCTTCCTTCCAGATAATCCGGGCTTGTTGGCGGAACCAAGACGAAATCAACCCTGCCCCCCACTCTCCCACCCCCCTCCCCTTCCGAAAGTAAAGTCTTTGAAGCGAACAGAATCCAATGCGCAAGCTTCCAAACCCGGAAAACTCCAGAAAACACGCGGTACAGTAATTGAGGTGCGTGTGTGGACCTATCTACCGTATCCTATGCATCTATCTATCTACCTGTCTGTCTATCTATCTATATCTATGTATGGTATGCATGTACATATATGCATACATGCATAAACATAACGTACACATACATACACACACGCACATACATGCATACATGCATGCATGCATGTGTACGTACATACATACGTACATACATACATAAACACATATTACCATATCTGTTTATGTGTGCATGAAAACATGTAGACACATGTACATATAAAGACACATATATATATATATATATATGTATAGACGCTCATCGGCATGTATAGTAGATGTGTGCGTATTACGTGTCATTATAAAAAAACGTAAGTGCATATATGTATATATATATATATACGTAAACGGTTATACATGTATGTATGTATGTATGTATGTATGTATGCATGTATACATGTACAGAAACTTTCTACCGGACGAAGCCCTTAGAATCGCAACACCACCAGAACGTCTTGTTGACGGGACTTGGTGCCGTTGCTCGCGACTACTGGTTTTGTGGTGGATACAGCACGACAATTTCGGCAAATGCTTGAAACGGGATGATTTCAGGCGGAATGGTGTTGGCAAGGGAGACCTAAGCCCACGCCTCCAAATATCGATAAACGCCCACGATAATGTCCCACTGTGCTGCACCAAGTGCAACCGAATCAGGACATGACGCGCAATTACAGTCTGTCGCAGCATCTGACACCTAGATTACAGAGCACAGGTCCAGGTGAATCAGCCGTGGCCCCCCGCCTCGAACTTCACCGCAACCTTGTTCTTCGTGCGCGTGTCGGTACCGAGGAACACAGCCCCGAAGCAGCCCTGCAGGCGAATTATGCGCCACAAAAAGTACGCTTTGGGCGTTTCCGAAAATTAGGGGTACCTTATTTTGGGGTCCTTATAATAAGGATCATACTAATTTAGGGTGCTGTATTGGGGTCCCCTAATTTCGGAAAGCCTCATTTAACAGGGACAGGTTCAAACATGTGCGGCACTGCGCCGTTTACAAAGATCCTGGAGCCACGAATCCTCAGGCCATAGGATGGGAAGATGGCAGTGCGCACGTACACCAGCAACTCGGGCGGAGTAGCAGCAATTCAGCTGGCAAATGAAAGTCACCAAGATCGTGGCTGGCCCGAAACTGTCGGAAACTCTGAATATCCAAAGCAGTGCTCCAACAGCATTGCACCGTGGCATGACATGTATGTATAAACACACACACACACACACGCGCGCGATATACATTGACATATAAGGAATACCCAAATCTATCATACTAGGTTCTCTCTATCATGCTAGATTATACGATAGATATTCTGCTCGTCATATGAGCCCATTATCATAATAGCACTAGATATTACACCACAATATGCTGCACGATGTTGTAAATGTTTTTACGATGTACATAGAAACATTCGTATGTAAGCACACATGTACACTGCATGTTTTCGTGTCATACACACTGGTCATTGTGCTAATCATCGCTGACTGTATACATTGCGGACATGAGCCAATACCAGAAAATCCAATCCAAACCCATGCCAAAGCATGGGTAGTTGCCTCACCCAGCTTGTCTTTGTCCTCGACCAGAAAGCCTCCATGCAACAAAAGCATGTCTGCTCATACAAACTATCGGAATCAAGCACTTCCTAGTCGCGCCATGCTGGCAACAATGGTATCAATGACGACATCCCTAAAAAAAAGACAAGCGCGATAGCCAACACTACAGGAGCACCGAAGTCAATGTCATTGTCAGGCTCTTCAGCACGATCCTGGTCAACTTCCACAAGAGCTACAGCCCGGATGCCATCAAGACATGCATTGTCATCAGAAGGTTTCATTGCAGATATGGACAGCCAAGGCTGCCAGTCATCTTGGGAGTGTCAGAATCTATCGCTACCATGTCGAGCAGCAAATAGAAAAACGAACAAACACAGCACGACCACCACACCATCACTCACATCAGGATGATGATGATGATGACGATGACGGTGATGGCGGTGACAATAGTGACGAAATTGGTGATGGCCTCTTTCATCCTAAACACCGTTATCGCAAACAAGATCACCCCCTCCTCTGCAATAAAAGAGAGGGCGATCATCAGCACAAGACGGCAGTGCTGCCACCATCATCGTGAAACCATCAATTCGTCTTTTTTTGCCCACGCAGTAGTCATGACCAATGACTTCGCTGCAGTTATCTCCATTGTCTACATCACCACGCACGGAAGACGATGCCCATCACTAACACGCTCATCTGGACATCTTCTGGCAAGCACGCATGACGAACACTACCAGCCTGGCTACTACTTGAACACGATGGTTAGCACTATCGTTGTCACCGTTGCGCTGGTCCGAGAGTACCGTCCAGGCCATATGAGGCCACCGCATGGCAGGAAACATCACGCTCACCGCCACTGTCATCCTCGCCGTCATCATCTTCATCACCGTCATCCTCAGTCCACGCGCCACTTCTGCCGTCATGGAGACTATGTCCATCATTGCTTCCATGTGCAAGATGTCTCGGACGATAACGATAGTCTCCATGTGTTGCTTTGATTCTTCAACGTGATTCCGTCATACCCCGTATTGCTGGACGGCCTCCTCAAAGCAAACACGTCACAATCATCACTGCTAACACCAGCATGTGCATCTCTGTCACGGTCATTGTCACCCTCATGATCACCATCGCCGTCACCAGCGAAATCAACTTCACCATCATGCGCAGGACCGCCACGGGCTGATGCCGACATCATCAGCAACATCATCACTGTCATCACAGGCACTCATCCAGATCGACTCCATCACCGACTCCGCCATAACTAATAACAACATCTTATGATCACCATGGTAATCAAGAGTTTCTTCGGCGGTCGCCACCGCCATCGTGGCTGTCATCATCACGACTATCGTCATTGCTGTCGGTCAAGACCCCCCCGGGCACCCCCCCCACCCCCATGCCCCCCTCAAAAACTCTGTCAGGAAGCGTCCATTGTCCAGGTGCTTCGGAAACCGCACGGACTTTGGCATCGCCGGACCAGCCTCGGTTCTCTATGGTGACCCTATAGTTTAAGTTACCTTATTAAGGAAACCATATTACCTTACTTTAGATCCCTGCGATGGAAAACTAAGGATTTTTGCAGCTGTGAGGTTGAACACTTGAAAGACTGGAGCTCTCCTCATCCAGGTCTAGCTCCCGACAGCTATCTCCCCACTGGGCATCAACAGGTGCCACACAGCTCCTGCTGCGCCTACTACAGGGGCCTTGTTAATGTGGAGGACCATTGTACTATAAGCATAATAAGGAAACCTCCAAATAGTTTAGGTAATTGATAAGGTCCCCACATTAGGTGAACATCTGACACCTCCCAGTCTTCAGTTACTTGGTTATCGTATGGAGGTCCCTGGTTGAAGCATCGATGGCTCTCCGGCACCTAAGTCGGAACAGGCCTCGAGGAACCGCATTTTACACCGTCGAAGCAGCAATGCCACCAGTTTGCACCTATACTGCTGCAGGTATCCCTCTGAAACAGTATTCGCGCACAGACATCGAGTTCGATCGGCACAGCTTGAACAAAACTCCGTACGAGGAATGGTGCGAAACCCAAGCCTTCAATAGCGGTGATCAAGGCGTCTTGCAGGAACCCATATCCGCTTGATTTACACGAGGGCTTCAGGTTGCCAGGGTGGGGAATTAGAATAGGGTTCGGAAGCCCATTATATTACAAGGATAGTATAGGAACCCCCCAAACTAGTATTGGTAATGATTTAATGTAGGAACCTGATTAAGAAACCTTGGGCCTTTATCGGGGCTCCTTGTATGAATCCTACTATTTTGTTTTTTTGGCCAAGGGTTTCTTCATCGGGTTCCTACACCAGGTTTGAATCGAAAACATCCAAAGCCTTTCTTGGAATGCCTGAGGATCTGGCTTGCGGACTAGTGCGCCATGGCTGGATGTCCGGGGAAAACGGGTGTTGTGACGAGATGCGTTGTTGTGATCTGGGTTGACTGGGACGCCGGCTCCATGATGGGTTGATGTTCAGAATGTTTGGCAGACTTCGATTTCGTATCTGACCCGGACGAGATGGACATCTGATTTGGATACCTGTCTGAGAGAGTCAAGGGTTAGCAGTCTCAGTGGTAACTACATTCGGGCCGGTTTGCGCAGAGGATCACAGAAAGTGTCACCTGCCGTCGGCCACAAAAACCACAAACAACAGCTGTCATCAAACCCTGACTGCAACCGCTCTGACACATAGACCCGGGCAAAAGGAAGCTCCTTTTCCCAGTGCTTCCCTCGCTGAGCAGCTCGTCTGCTGATGGGACTCGGGCGATCCTAGGCTGTACAGTGAAGGTCAAAAGCTGAAACAATACCAAACTCCAGCAGCTGTGTCGGTTGCAAGCTGTTCAAGTCCAGCCCAATGTTCGGGCTCTTTTCAAAATAGTTGGATGTTGCTAGTGCTGATGCCGTCGCTGGAATGGCCTTGCTTGTCATTGATTGCACAACATAGGAGGGCTGAAGCTTGGGTCGTGGAAGATATAAGCTTGCAGAGCTTTCCTGAGCTGGAAAGCAGTGCACTGGTCGGAGGGCGCACCTACGACAGAAGGCTAACGCATCTCCTGGATCTGCCGCAGCACATGCCGAAGGAAGCACCCATAGTGCCTTGATAGAGGCTTTGTAGTAAAACCCCCTGAACCAACGGGAGTGTTCTTCTCCCGTACTGACAGAAACGAAGCTTCACTCGAGACTTTGTGCTCGCTTTGTAGTAAAGCCCCCATCAAAAACAAACGGAATGTTCTTCTGATTCCTGCACAGAGAGAACCATGACCACCAGCATGCGGGACCCCAACCCCAAAAGACCTTTATCACAGACACCTTTGGCCAGGGACCGTCTGGGACTTCACGCTAAAACCTAAAGCCCTAAGCCCAGAAAGCCCCGAGATCCGAAGACCTATCATGCGGAACCGTGCTCTCCGGACAAGTCGACCATCCAGCCGGCGTCTCCTTGTCAGGGCAACCCAAGAGTGCTGCTCCAGGAGCTTAGGGTGTTAGGGCCGACGAGCAATCCACGGAGCTTGAAACCTTGACTACGCCGCCAGAGTCTCGAGGAGAGGCTTTGTGTGGGCAAGTCTGATCCATGACATGTCGTGGAGCAATCCCTAGGCTCCCTTTGTTGAGCAGGAACTGCAATGCACTTTAGCCCACCCTACATCCCTATACGCCCTTGAACCCCAAACCCGGTCCCCGGCCTTGTCAACAAACACACCTTCAGGGATTTCAGTGGCTCCAGGCAGGGCCGGACCAAGTCACAAGTGCCTTTCTGGGTTTAGGGAGTCCTTGTTTGCAAATAATTTTCTGTTTCGATCAGGCAGTCAAGTGACGTATATAGCTTCGAGAGTAGCTATGCAGGAAATAGAGCACCAAAGCTGTCGAATCTCCCTGCACCGCAAGCTCGAACACCCAGCCGCTTCTGCGCCGGAAGCTTTCTTGGCCAAGTCTAGCCGCAATCATGGAATTTTGGGTGTCAACCTATCGAATCCCCAAGTGGTGCGCAGAATTTATTCGAAAAGTCTTCATGCTTCCAAATTGACTATCATTTTCTTAACTTTGATTTTATTGTGAGGGATCTTGCTGTTCCTCCTGTTCTGGCTCTTGCTCCGGAGCTGGCTTGCTCCTGCTCCTGCTCCTGCTCCTGCTGCGTCTCTTGCTCTCTCTACTGCGCCTGCTCATGCTCTTGCTCCTGGTCTTGCTCTTCCTCCAGCTCTTGCTCTTGACTTTGACTTTGCTCTTGCTTTTGCTCTTGCTATTTCTCCTGCCCTTACTCTTGCTCCTGCTCTTCCTCCAGCTCCTGCTCTTCATTTTGACTTGCCTCTTGCGTTCGCTCTTGATCTTTCTCCTGCCCTTGCTGGCTGTTTATCCTCCTCCAACTCTTGCTCTTGATTTGGACTTCGCTCTTGCAGTTGATCTTGCTCTGTCTCCTGCCCTTGCTCTTGCTCCTCCTCCTACTATTGAGGGTGTGCAAAATATATAGAAATTGGGGAACCGGGTATTTTCAAGATTTCAACTCTGCCTATGCACGGGCTCGCGCGAAGCATGGGTAGATGGCATAGAGTGCCAACCATGCACCCAGGAGCACCAAGAAGACCTTAGTCTAGCTCAGGAAAAGACCACAAGGCAAGACCCGACCCAGACAAACCATAATTCAACCAAGCAAACCCGGAAACTATGTTGGAGGGGAGCTTGCATAACAGAGGCCATTATCGGGATCCAGGGCCGCGAAGCATTTCGAAGTGTGCACGGCATCCCCGTGCAAATAGTACATTCTTATCTCTCAGACATGCTCCGAATCTTAAGACACTTCGTCTCAACTAGACAAGTGGACCGGACGGAAGGTTCAGATGTAAGGTGGGGGTCTGCAGCTGCGGCACTTTTCATCCCAAAATATCCTCCACATATATATATATATATATATATGTATATATATATATATATATATATATATTATTTATTTATTTATTTATGTATATCTATCGAAGAAACGAAAGGAATGATACTACCCATTGTTCAGGGCCCTAGGCCATAGACCCTAAACCCTGAAGGCCCTCAAACCTTTACTAGGATTCCCGGTAACCTAGGAACAACAAGGGGCTCCCTTACTGGTACTAGAGTTGATGATATAAATCCTGCATTTCCCACAAAAAGGAAAATGCCATAATTCCCATAGTTTAGGCAGGGTCCTTACGGTAATGCAGGCATGTTATCAACAGTAGGGTAGTTCTATAAGGGATCTAGGAAGGGAGTGCAAACAGGGAAACCTAGCCAAAAGCCGCCCAATCAAACCCTAGTTGACTCGCACCAGTAGCCGCTAATAAGGGGCCTGAATAATTGCCTATACTGTTCTGGGGGTTCCTTATTCTAATTATATTCAATATAATGGATCCCAAAACCCAACTCCAATCATCAAGGCCCCTATATTATACTACCCTTGCAGATCCCTTATAGTAACCCCCTCTCTATGGAGCCCTTTAAAGGAACCCTGTTCTAATTATTAAGGCCCCGATGTTAGTAGCCTGATTGAGAGCCTGGCCAGGTGATTGGACCAAGAGATGCCGGACCTTTGCAGGAAGTTCGGGCTTAGGGTTTAGGTTTAGGGTTTAGGGGTTTAGGGTTTAGGGGTTTAGGGTTTAGGGTTTAGGGGTTTAGGGTTTAGGGGTTTAGGGTTTAGGGGTTTAGGGTTTAGGGGTTTAGGGGTCTAGGGTTTAGGGGTTTGGGGGTTTCGGGGTCTAGGGTTTAGGGTTTAGGGTTTGCGCTCTCGCAACTCGGGCATGCCACGGTTTGGGGTTTAGGGTTTAGCATGGCTTGAGGCTTAGCTTCACCCCCCAAGTAGCTTTTGATAGAGCCCTTATGGTCCTGAATAGTGGGCATTTGATTCGTCATAAAGGGTAATTGAGTTGGTGCTGGTAGCTTCAGGTTTAGACTATGGGTCTGGGATAAGACGGTTTGGGGGTTGAAGGCTCAAGGATTAGCTCCGTAGGGTTTAGGGGCTTCACTTACACTGTGCCCCACTGCCTGTGCTTGATACCCAGCCTTTCTAGGAGATGCCGGATCTCACGACACTTTCCTGCTCAAGGGCACAGCCCCTTCGAGAAACTGAGCTGCCGGACATCAACACGCCATTGACGAAGATGGCCAAGCCTCACTCAGATTGATCGCCTTTTCATCAAGGGTTCCAAAATCTGTGCTTTTTTGGCGGCACATAAAGAAACCAATAGTCACCCACCAAGGACGGTTTTGGGGGATGGCACTAGCTCGGCCAAATGTGGTTGTCGGTACATGAAGCAAGAAAGCTGGACTGCACTGAGAGTTCGGGGGTCTAAGGCGTGCCCAAAACCCCGTAGGGTGTACCCAAACCCTTCTAGCGAGATAACACGTATGATTTAGGACTCGAGGCTACAAGAGGCCACGGCCTGCGATCGAATTGTACAGGTAAGGGGGGCTTTAATAAGTAGAACATGGGGTCTGGGGTATGCCATATGGTGAAGGTGTTTGCCAAGGGACTCTACGGAAAAAACAGTATTGTATTGGTGCTTCTTTGGGCTTCTACATTAAAGGCCAGCAGCACCAGGACAAAGGAAACAGTGCGCATGTGTGTACATTATTACTTATATACATGCATTTGTACTTAACTTAGAGTTCTCCAGCCAGTACACTCCTCAGAACCCCAATACAAACCCGATGCGACGTTCACTCGCAATGCTCGGGATAGGAGCGCCTAGCAAGGTCTTCCAGCTGCATCAGAGCTGGACGTCCGTTGACACTCAGTGCTCGTCAATGTCAGCACACTACTCATACCACATATTCGTGTGGCTAGTTGTCAAAATTGAAGTCCCTTTTGGGGTGCCCTAAATATGACAAGGACCCAAAACAGGGTCCATAATTTTGACAGCCACCCATATGACTCATTTTGATTCGCCTTCAGCTAACTTTCTGAGGAGTGCGGCAGGGTTGCATAATCAAGGCACATAGGTGTGGTCTCGAAGCCCCTTCGATAGGTAGCTCTTTCACCATGCACTACATGCGAGATTTCTCTTCAACCCTTCAACAGCCTGCCTAAACCCTGCATAAAGCGGCAGCCCGATGCTCAGAAGAAGCTGAAACCGGCCTGGAATGAAGGGCATGCCCGGAGCCAGGAAAACTTCCCCCTGCTTCTCCTGACATATTCATTATGGCAATTTCTGGAAAACACCAACTGGAAGAAACTATGCCAGTACCAGCCTACATCAGGGGATGCTTATCGGCTCTGCATGGCAACGCCTGTCATGGATATCGCATAGCGGTGTTGGGTGCGCCTTGGGATGAGGGACTTCCGGGCGATTCAAGACTTCGGGCTGCTTGGAGTGCTGCAACTCTTGGTAACCCCGAAGCATCTGGCGGCTTAATCCCTGAGCACCGAGAGCTTGCAGGCCATAACACATTAAACCGCGACACCTAAAGCTCGATACCTTGGCTTAACCTAGAACCCTGAAACTCGAAACTCGCAACTCCAACCACCGAGTCTTCCCGAGAATGCTCACTTCCTAGAGTGCCCATAAAAACCCTATTACAACTTCATCAAACACTCATAGAAACGCTCCTACCGTAGCGCCCCTTAAATAAATGGCTTAAGAACGAACAGTCGACAACACAATTTAGGGCCTTCGTTCCTTAGTAATTAGAATAGGGCTGAGGGTTATGCAATACAGTTTTTATAGGCACTGGACGGGGATAAAGCTGATACGTAGTCAGACGCCTGTAAGCCCTCTTGCTGCAGGCATGCGCGCAAGGACGCCTGGTAGTTTGCCCCCCTAAGCTCTAAAACCGGAACTGCTACTTAAAAGAATTGTGGGCCTTACTAGCACTTTAGCAACTATGATTATGGTAGTAGCTATACTTGTAGTTACTTGTTATGTCCCCAACTAAGATACTTCCGACCTGACTTTCTGTGTCCCATCATCCTCCAAGTCAGACCCCCAACAGTAGCCACAGGGGCCTCTGCAAGCGGCTCCATCTCGTATTGCAGGCGGAGGTGGACCACCAAAGCAACCTATGCTCTGCAGATGCTTTCGAGAACGAAAGCAAATTAGGGCTCAGTTTTTGTCGGTTGCAGTTGTGTTTTTTGTAGGATTCACTTAATTAGGGTTTGGGGTCTAGACCACCGTCAGGACACAACATCCAAGTGTTGCCCAGAGTGAGGCATGCCCTGCATTGCAAAGGGACCTTGTTTCTGCCGACGGGTGGGGCAGTCGCATCCCTTCAGGAGCATCCCCGAAGCCGGCGCATGTCCGCCCAACCCTCAGCCCTACGTTTTCGGATCTTTGCCCCAAAACCGTGAACTTCAAGGCTAAACGCAAACGCCGATAAGCCTTAAATTCGCTCTAGGCTGGCTGGGCACTGCTTGGAGGTTCAAGTGGAGCTTTAATCAGGGTAGCCATAATTATAACCCATGTTATAGGGGACTTATAACCCTACGTATAACTACCCATGAATGTCCAAGTAGATGAGAAGTATATGACAATCCCAAGTAACAGCTCGTAAACAACAGCTCCGTAAACAAGCCTGTACACTTCACGGCCGTCTTTCACAGAAAGAAGATTGCAAAGGACAGGCTGTTAAATCCAAGCACCAAAAGCCAACTTAAAACTCTACCGCCAATGCTATATAGCCTGCAAGCACCGAGCCGAAGGTAAACAGTATAGATACCTGAAACCAGGGACAGAACAACATCGGAATCCATTGTCAAACTCAGTGTTCGCGCACTGTTGTCGGTTCCCGAAACCCATCGTATCGTGCACCTATCCCTGAGCTTTACACATAACTTGAAGCGCTTAAACCCTGAGGCCGAAGCGCTAAGCCTCAAGCCGGAAACCCGTGAATTCTAGACCGGCGAGTTTATGAGCCACCCATCTGAATCATCTTAAATTAATCTTGCAACGAGCATTACAGCGGCAACAAGGACTACGACATCGAAGGGCACAGAAGTGGTGACAGTAAGCAGGGACTGAACGATCGGGTCAAATGCTCGTGCAAGTGGTGTGGTGACTCGCAATAGGCCCCATAGTAGTTCCTTTTTGGGGATTACCTACGTAATAGGATTTTAAATACGAACCCCCAAAAAGGAACCACTATGGAGCCTATGGGTATTGTCGTCCTTGTTCCTTTAGTCACAAGCTTGGCTTTAAACCGCATTGCTGGGTTGTGCTTTAAACCCTTTGAAAATTATTTATGAATAGGTTCCCTTTATAAGGAAATAAGGGAAATTGAATATTATCCCAAAGCACAACCAAGATTATGGACACGCTCACAGAATCGAGGCACCGAAGCCAAAGCCAGCACCGTCCCTGTGGCCTGGAGAGGACCCAGAAACTCCAACCTCCCTTAATTAAGGAATATATATACGTTAAAATATTATAGAATCCCTAGTATGATTCAAGGAATATTCCTGAATTGCGGGATGTTGGAGTCGCTGGGGATAGGGAGTCTTAGATTTGACATGGAGCTGAGGGAGCTTGAAGCTTCTCTGGCATGTGCTTTGGAGAGTTAATACGAGGTGCGAGAGACCTGGGCCTAAACACTCCTGAAGCCATGCGCATTTGCTGCCACTACCTGATATCTTAGACGAACTGTCTCTGTTCCCTTCGGACACTGAAAGGATCATGGAACTCAAAAACTAGGGCTGTTATTGCATGGGTAAGTATACGTATCCGTATAACCACTTATAGCTCCAGTTAAAGTACTCATACCCTGACTTGCTATCTCCGATGATCCTCCAAACACCTAGAACCGTCGTCGCAAAGTGCAGCCGACTAGATCCTGGCTCGACATCTCCGCTCGCAAGAACTCCGAGAGGAACTGTCCAGCTGGGAGGTCGCAACTCCAAAACCCTATGAGGCGCAGTGGAATTTGTAAAAAAGGGAGCCTAATCATGCGCATGGAGCCCGATCATAGAAGGCCCCCGGGAGCAGAAACATAGATGCGGCAGCGTTGCAATCCACTCCACGCCCACCGAGTCGCCTGCAAGTGCTGGCCCCAGCACGCCCTGCAAGGCATCGATGACGATCTCAGAAGACTTAATTACAAAAACTGGTTTGCTTTTCGTGGTTTGCTGAGCATACCGTGGCCCTACTTGCAACCTAAAAATGGAAATACTCACTATTTCTCCTGATGCTCCCCTCCGCGACATCCCTTGCCAGCAGCCTCGCCAAAGGACCATTTAATAATGAGGCAAATATTATCATTCCCAGTAATCATAAGCAATAAAGCATAATTACCAATTAATAATAGGCAATATACCATAATTACCCATTAATAATACGTGAGGAATATAATATATCAATAGTCCCATCGATTTATACCATCAACACCTAGAACATCTCAAAACACCTGGAACATCTCGCTCGGGAGGCACTGCAAGCCTTCCAGAGCACATAGCCGGCACTCATGCCCAGGACAAGCAGTAGCAGCACCAGCTTCTCCAGCCTTCCCAGGATCTCGGCTTTACGTTTTTGATCGCCGTGTTGAACTAATCTGGTGTTGGAACCTCCGCGTAACAAGCAGTGCTAAACAAGTGTGTGCCAAAAGAAGTTGGCTCCCTCGAACAGAAACTCCTCTTTGCGGGATACGTGTCGCAAGGACCTACTATGCATCTCGGGGTCTGAGGCAGGGGTGCCTCGCGTGCCTCTATGATTTACACTCGGAGAAATCCGGAAGGCAAGTCAGAGAGGGAGAGAGAGGAAAAGAACGGGAGAGAGAGGGAACGAGAGATTTGTTCCACTCAAAAATTCCAGATCCAGCCTAAGGTCTTAGACTTAGAGCAAGGAGGCATGTCCCTCTGTATCCAAACTCGATGTCTTAATACTCGGACTTGGTTCTATGTACCCTAAACCCTGAAGACATCATAATTCGACTAAGGAGCCCTCTAAGGAGATTGGTCATGAGTCAAGCACCTATGTCAACTTGAAGAGCACGGATTCCTCGCTCGATCCTCGGTCCTAAGAGTAACGACCACATTCACGCTCCGCACTGCTCCGAAGACTGGTATACTATGTTATACTCTGTTGCTTTATGGAATACTAGGTGTTATATCTGCTGTAAGGTCTGGTGTGTGCTATTGCACAATGTGCTCGTGTGCTCTGTGAGACTGTACTGAATTATACTATAGTGACTATAGTACACCCACATCTTGGCCTCGGCTGTTGCAGGCTGCCACCGTTACCATATCCTCGAGAATCCACATCCGATGTGACTTGAGCTACCATCTTGAATCCTAAGCTAGACACCGCAACAGTTGCAAGCGCAAGCCTCTACAGTCTACATCCGCTTGCTTCAATGTACGCGCAACCAACATCCGTTCGGTGAACCAACTAAGGCAGGTCATTCCTGAAGTGCAACCCTCCAACCACCTACTAATCACAGACCGCTCCAAACGGCCAACCGACACTTAAACATTGCTACCCTAAACTCAGAGGCACTTGGAGCCCTAAACCGAATGAGCATAAACATAGTTCCCATGCTCTTGGTACTGAACGTAACGTTGACCTCCGAAAAGCCTTTTTTGAGTCACGGGCTGGAGCCTTCTGCGGGCGTCCGGCTCCAGCCCGTGACTCCAAAAAGCAAACGTCTCGCCATAAACATAAACCACAATCCCAGCCAGCTGCTGACCCTGAAGCTCAAAGAGCCGCAGAAACTTACATAGCATAGAAGTGATGAACGCAGTAGTCGTGGTGGTGGTAGTAGTAGTAGTAGCAAGAATAATAGCAATAGAAGTAATAGTTCGGCCGAAAAGATTGAAATCTCAGTCGGCTAAGAACTTGCAGGGAACCCACAAGTACAGTTCAGGGATCTGATGTTGATCAGCGCAGCGTTGCCTAAGCTGAAGCGGGTCCAACATGAAGGGCCGTAGGCTTCCATGATGTAGGTTGGTAAGGTCGAAGAACTAAGAGTTGGCAGTTGGCAGGGGTTCAGGATTTTGGAGGAACTTGGAATTCGAAGATTGTAAGGCCTAGGATTTTGGGATGTTGCGAATACGGGTTTCAGGGCTATTCTTGAATGAGGGCTTGAGTGATTAGGGTGGTTGGGTGGGGGTCCAAGTAGTCACACTTTGGTGTTTTCGTGTCGTAAATAGTAGCTGTAAGTCAGTCTTCAAGCAAATTTATATGACGCTTCGGAGATTGGATCCAAATCTGGCTACAGTGTGGAGACAGCGGAGACGTTTCTTCTGGCTCTGCTCTTCTCAGGCATCGCTCCATGAAAACCCTCAGTTCCTCAAGCTGTTAATCAGAATTGCGAATTATTAATAACAGTTTGCTCTCTCCTTGCGCGCTCGTGAGATCGTGGCAGTTGCCAGACACGGAATCCTCTCAGCAACGTTCGCTGCCTCACTCAGGTTTCCCATGTTTTCGCGGCCCCTAATATAGTACCCTGAATAGTAGGATCCTTATTCTAAGGACCCCCAAACAAGGTACCCCCAATTTCGGAACCCTCCTAAAAAGGGCTTGAACCGGGCCCGGTGCGATTCGCAGACCGGGGGATGGGATATTCCACAATACTGCATCAAAACCGCTGCACATGCTCCTGCAGGACACTTAGACTCCGAGTCCTCTGATTTTAGAAAGGATGCTGACAAAGGCAGCAAGGCTGGCAGAGAGGGGTTGGAGTCGTATCGGCGTTGCCACGACTTCAGTTCCGTCGCGGGCTCGCTTCATCATGGTCTGATCCTTGCCTCCACTGCTAGAGACATGAAGCCATCAAGCCCTACAACTTTATTCCCCAGCTACCACCAAGGCACTGAGGTTGAAGCTCAGCAGCACGCCCAGGCTAATCACCTGAGGGCGAGATCGAATGGACATGCATGAAGACTCCAGGTCAGTAAACCTCTTCCCTTCAGAGGGACTATGACACGGATGCGCATATTGGGGCCCTTCAAGAAAGGCTGATTTCTGACCCAAGGTGCACATTAGCTGCAATGCAAGGGCCCAAGATACCGAAATAACAGGGTTCAATTCGCGGCAAGTTCAGCTTGGATAGTTCAATATCCATCACACGAGACCCCTCTGGAGCCCCAGAGCTTTGCATTGAGTCCTAAACCCTCAGCCCGGCCCTCCGCCAGAAACCCTGCACCCTAAACCCTATACCCTAAACCCTATACCCTAAACCCTATACCCTAAACCCTAAACCCTATACCCTGAGCTGCCAGGTCGCATCCCAAAGGACGCTGAAGGGGCAAAAGGTGGCCAGCCCCGTCAGCGCGATGAGCCCGGTCAGAGCCAACCCCCAGGTGAAGTTGCCGGTGCCTTTTATTATTATTATTACTATTAGTAGTATTATTATTACTATTATTATTATTATTATTATGGTTCCTACTAAACTTTACTAATATTACATTTCTTGGTTATTACTATGGTAAGATGAATGAATATTATTGTTGTTTCTTTGTTGAGTTACTGCTGTGCTGATTGTGTTTTGACGGTTTAGGGTGTATGGATTCAAGGAGTTCTGGACACGTTGACTTGTTGTTTCGACTGGAACACCTCTCTCAACGCAGGCACGGATTCAGGAGCTTAGGGTTCAGGTTTTACAGGGCCCTAAAACTGGAGACCTACGGTTGATGGTATACATTACCTTAAGGACCCTAAACTAGGGGAATCATGGTATATTCCTTATTATGGGTAATGCAGGATTTATATCATCAACCGTATGAAGGCAAGGTCTCCACGTGCGCCCTCGGCGAAGCCAAGCCGTTGAGAGTTGACAGCCGTGAAGCTGCTTTCCATCGCTGGCGAACGCAGGGCGGCGCAATAAGGATTCAGGAGGCTTTGGTCAAGGAAGACTAAACCACACCCCACCTCAACCCTAAACCTTTTTTGCTGTAGGCTTGCATGCAAGGACGCCTGGTAGTTTGCCCCCTCTACCCCACATCATGTTGAAGCCACGGTTGAAGCCAAGGCACGCTGAGATTGCCGAGCAAAAATCGAAGGCAAGAGCCTCCAGGAAAAAGCAGGGTTTAGGGTTAGGGTACCCAGAAACTCCAATATCCCTTAATTAAAGAATATACCTTGAATTATACTAGGACCCGAAATATGATTTAAGGTATTTTCCTTAATTAAGGGATATTGGAGTCTCTGGGTAGGAGACCCCCGGCATCCGAGGGTCAGAAACCTCGAAATCCTCTTCAAGGAAGGGTTAACATGGACCATAGACCAGAATATATAGTAAAACATATAATAGAATCCTTGGGTTTGCGCACACCTCAATTGACCCTATAGAGCCCACATGTTCCGGCTTAGAGTATTTTTTCAGTCTCCGGGAGGTCTCTGAACTCAAGGTTTAATCCGGGAGTCTGGGAGGCCTTGCTTAAGACCTAGAACTTCTAGAACTATTATAAAGTGCGGGGTATCTGGAAGTATCTGCGATGTGTGAAAGTTCCTCTTCAAGGGCTGCTCAACGACTTCGATTATTTCCGATCCCTTTTTTTGGGATGAGGGCATGGCCTGTCTTGGATAAGCCTATGACGGCTTCGACGCTCACACTCGCACAAGGCAGGCAAGGCTCCACATTGTCAGATAGAGGTGTATGCACAGTCCTAAACCCTTCATAGGTTTAGGGTTGAGGGTTTAGGGTTCGAGAAACCTGAACCTGCCTAGAAGCGCACTTGGAATACTTCAACAACTCGCAGTCTAGAGGAGCAGTTGAGATCCTCGGACCTGACAAAGCCCCCAATTAAGTAAGGAATATACCGTAAATCATATCAGGGACCATACTGTAACTTACACATCCCTTAATTGTTTGGATTTTTGGAAGGTCTGGCTTCCTCTGGCATGTGCCGTGCATGTCGAAAGCTTTCCCCTGCCAAGCTCGAGGCAGGATCCGGTGTCTCCCTTCGCAAGGATCCAACGCTAAATCCGCGTAAACGTTACACTGCAGCTCCATGTGACTGTAAGCCCCGATGAAGGACGTAAGACCCTAGTGCGAACCCTATTCACCTATCCCCAGAAACCATCTGAATCTAAACACACCAGATCACCAACCCTAACCCCTTTTACCATAAACCCTAAGCCCCTTGAGTGAATAAATGCTAAACCCTTGCAAACCCCCCAAACCCCAAAACTTCCAATATAGGGACCTACACAATTACCAAGTAATATAACCCGAAACCCTATTCTTATTGTTTAAGCCCCTTATTTATCATAATCATAGTAACCCTTATAGTATCCCTTATAGAGCCCTTTAAAAGGAGCCCAAAGGAACCCTACTCTAATTTTTACGGCCCCTATACTTGGAGGATCATGGGACTTAGCAAGTAAGGTTATAAGTACCTTCATTGAGATTAGAAGTAGTTATAAGTATAGTTACCTTATTTACAACCCCAGTTACTAAGTCCCATGACCCTTTAAGTAGGGTAACCCTTTTTGGCCGCCATTTTCGCCTGTCTCGGGCCATAGGAGCTGACACCTCCGGCTGCGGAAGGATGGACAGCAGGACGACCTGAGTGGGATCGGAGGAGACTCCATCTGGGAGTTTCCGAAAATAAGGGTCCCTAATACAATACCCTACAATTTAGAAAAGTAGGAGCCTTATTATGAGGGACTCCTCGGAGTTTCCGACAATAGGGATCCCTAACCTAAATAGTAGGACCCTTATGATTATGAGGAGCCCAAAATAAGGTACCCCTAAACTCTACATCTCAGGCAGGAGGAGCTTGGGGATTAGGGCTTTTCGGGCTTAGCGTTTGGGGTTTAGAGCCATGCACTTTGGACTTGGGATTTGGGATTTATGGCCTAGGGCCCTATTTACTTGGGCATTCGCTAGGAGCTGATCTTGGGGGTGTAAATAGGCTTGCGGTTCAAGTTCCTACGTCTCCTAGCCAAGATCAAAGTTATTCTCTTCCTCCAAATTAAGAACATTATAAGCAGACACTCCCAGACATGAAAATTGCCCTCCTACGAGAGTTACTACCGCAAACGTAATTCCCTCAATGTTGGGCTCTTGGAGCACATATATGGGCACATAGACCCCTATTTCAAGGTTCATAGCGGCTCTACGATGGTACCACATGCCCCTTAAATCCTCTCTAAATCACTGCCCCTTCTGTAGTAGAGGCTCTTCTCCGCTGCAGCCTTGCCACGAGAGGTAGAAGAACCAACTCCCCGATGCGAGAAATCCACGCCGCCACAACGAAGTCTGTCATAGGGCTGTTGGTTTAGGAGCCTAGTCCTTACAAGGCTGGCTTGATTCAGATGTATCATAAGTTTATCCTAAGCCCCTAAACCGTTTCATATGTGTATATATATACATATTATAAAGTCCAGGATTGGGGTCTGCATGTGGTTTGGGCTTCAGTGCTCCAGGACTGAAGAGAGAGAGAGAGAGAGAGAGAGAGAGAGAGAGAGAGACTTTCAGACATGACGTGCCCATAACAAAAACCCTAAGGTTCCATGTACTCATATAGTATATACATTGGCCTTAAGGTGCTCCCTATATAGGTACATTGGGCCCAAAGTATATGCTATATGGGTACATGGATCCTTAGAGAAAGCTACATCTTGTGACCTCAGCGATTCCTACGCACTGCACGTCTACACCTGCCCCATCGGTTGCGCCTTTGTTCTCGAAGACTTGCGGGAAGTCTGTGGCCGCACCGGGTGCAGCGTTCAGACACAGGGCGAGCTGGGCCGTAAATGATATGACCTCAGATCCAGGAGCGGCCATCTCAAGCACGTTGGTAGGCTTGGCCGGTCGATCTAAGCAAACAGTGTCGCTGCTGGTTTCGCCGGTGACTAATATTAAGTTCTCCAGAAACAACAAACAAGCACGAATAGATTGCCTTCACATCTGCAGGCTACCCCGATCACATGGAACCGGCTGCAAAATACTCCGGAGGGTAATTGTTATGCTGCCCGGGACGGGCACGGCCCTCAACTGTTGGCTGCCCTTCGGTAACAGGACGAGGTCAGGGTTCGGAGTTTAATGAAGGAGCCCTGCTCAATAGAATCGAGTTGCTGGTGGAATATCTACCACATTGTATCTTTTTCTATAAGCGGATGGACTACAAGGGATGGTAGTACGAACTAGCCCGACCTCCTTCTCAAGAACCTTGAAGCCTAAGGGGAGACACACGATCCCAGCACGCAACACACTCGCATTGAAGCAAGACGGACTCTCGGATCATGGGACTTAGAGACTATGCTTATCATTAGGGTACTGTATTTTTTATTGAAGCAGGGAAACAATACTGATAATTACTGTACCTGAAAGCCCTGTTGCGCCACTGAGGTTTGCAAAAATAAGCACATGGGTCTATCAGTCTACCATGGCACTCTTGAATTTCGAAAAGTCATTTCCATAAACTTAAACTACGAGCCGTAAGGAAACCCCAACAAATCATGGTCGAAAGGTCCCAAGGTCCTACGTCGAACAGACCCTAATGGGGTCAACGGACGGCTGCACCAGCAAGCGTCCCGATGAGAGCCAGTGGCATGGTCCGGGCCTTAGCTTCCCAGAGACTCCAATATCCCTTTATTAAGGAAAATACCTTAAATCATAATTGAAATCCTAATTAGTATAATTTGAAGTATGTTCCTTAATTAAGGGATATTGAAGTCTCTGGGTTCAGAGAAACCAATCGCTTGGCAAATGCCCCGTGGATCAGGCTTGAGGTGTCTTTTTGACTACCGCATGGCAGGGATCGATGCCCACAATTTCGGCGCTCGCACTCGGACACTCCGACCTCTCAGTTTTGGGTTGAGTTAGGGTTTTAGGCGACTGCAAGCCATAGGCAAGCAAGTCTATGAAAACCAAACCCTGATACCCTGAAACCGAGAGCCACCCAGCAAGGCTTTTCGATGTCCCCCAAGAAAGAACCCCGAAGCCACAAAGAAAAGAGGCCATGAGACAAAGTGCACAAGCTATTAAGCTGGGGATCTGCTGTGGCGTTGAAGCTACCAAGGGCAAGAAAAGCGCGGCTTCAAGCAGTTTGTACCGGCCCGGAACTTCGGGGCCTTGATGGCTTGAGGTCAATCTTGAGGGGTTTCTGGCATCCAGGTTCAGGGGCTTCGTGATTGGGGCTTCGGAGCTAAGACTTTTTTAAAGTGAAGCCGCCGCGCTCGGCATCCTCCAACCGGCCTTTGCAGTTATGGGTTTACGCCCTCCCGATCCTACACCCTGCCGCCGACAGAGGCACAACAATTCAGAACAGCATACCTGGAGGTTCATGGGTAGTTGTAAGTCCCCTCATACGGTTTATACTTATGGTTACCCGAATTATAACCCCACTTATAACTACCCATGAACCTCCAAGTTTTCCATAGACCTCAGGGCGGGACTGGGTTGCGGGCTTGCGATGCCAGGCAGCAGACCTTCTGCGATCCGCTTGTGTGTTGATCTTATCAGGCTTCAGGTTCTCGTTACCACCAGGCAGCTATACATCTATAGAAATAAATACACATATAAATATAAATAGATATGTATATATATATATATATATATATGTATATATATTATATTATATTATATTCTATTATATTATTTTATAGTATATTATATTATAATATATACACACATGGTATGATACGACATGATATGGTATGATATGGTATGACATGGTATGACATGAAATGGCATGGCATGATGGGATATGATATGTTATGATATGCCATGATATGTGTGCGTGTGTATCGCCCAGAAACCCGTGCTGCGGATTAGGGAATCCGGTGTTACCAGTATAGCAGGTACAGGTTGCTGCAGGCTTTTGACTCTAGGACAAGCATCCCCAGAGCAAGACCCACCCTCCCCCCCCCATTGTGTACATTTCGCAGAAGCGTCTTTGGCTTCAGGTTTTAAGCTTTCGAGGGCTCAGGGTGTCGGGCTGTGAGTTTCCGATTTGAGGGTTTTAGCTCATGTTTCGTATATCGCTCAGAAATCAGACCAAGCTTTGTGATTTTTGCATTGCTACACGACGATGGAACTCATGCATGAACTGGCCAGAAGGCAACACATAGAAACAGCCGAGACGTGGCGAGCAAACCCGTCTCTTCGACTCCCCCATAAACCATCAACCGCTCCAGCAGCATTCAAGCGAACGGCCTCATCGAATCCAATGAAGCCGAAGAAGAGGAGGGTGGTTGCTTTGATGATTCCGGACCTGAAAATCTCGAAACAACACCAGAGGTGGATTCGGGCTCGGGTGACGAGAAACCGATTCAGAGAACGGATGACCATGAAGCCCGCCGCCGCCCTCGAAATCGCCACGGAACGCAATTCAGCAAGACTTCGACTTCTGTCAACGTTGACCCTCCAACCAACAGCGTTTAGGATGCTTTAGGGCTCTCGCCTGGAACCTAACACCAGCGACCTGCAAACACATGCTATGAGGCTCTTGCGAAACAAAGTAATTAGGGTCTTCACACTTAGGATACTGCTCCGTCTTGTCTATGGTATGCTTCTTACAAAAGCTATCGAGTAAAGCATTCCTACAAACTAATGATTATTAATTCAGGCTTTGCTACGGCTGATGATACAAATCTTGCATGACCCATTAATATATAAGGAATACACTATAATTGCGATAGTTTAGGGTCCTTAAGGTAATGCAGGATTTATGTCATTTACAGTAGTTAGTAACTTTAGCATGCGGCCTCATTGCCCTGGCAGCACAGGCACGACCCATGCTCTCAGGTTGCAGGGAGTTTGTCTGCCGAGAACTGACTAGGTCTCGGTTTCAACAGTCCCCAAAGTAAAATCATATATAGCAGTAGCCAGAAAGTTGGAACATCATTATCCTCATGCCCTTAAGGTAAAGTACAAGGCATCCTCGCACTAATCCTCCTGAAGTGATGTTCCACCTTTCTGGCTTCTACTGTAAACGTAAATTCTATGCCCAATCGATACCTAGCAGAAGGCCGAAGCCTGAGAATCCACGTGAGTCCAGGAAATCTGAGAAGTCTGCATGGTTGAGGGGCTTAGGGTTTAGGAGCTTAGGGGTTTAGGAGTTCAGGGGCTCTGGGGGTTAGGGTTTAAGTTTAAGGTTTAGGGGTTTAGGGGCTTATTTAAGGGGTTAGGGGTTTTCGGCGCTCACACTCGGACAATCCAGGCGAGGCATATGAGTTCGCGTCTGCAAAGTGAAACGTCACTAAGAGGCTCCGTCACTACATGGGGTTTTGGGCATAAGGTTTAGGGGGACAAAACTCTTTCATTTCAGATACGAAGAAGCCAAACGTGCTATCGAAATGCTGTAGTCCCGTGACTGAGACCACATCCTGCCAAGAAGTTCGTCAAGTCTAGGCAGGCTAGATATCTTAGTTTAGTTGTAGTCTTCTTGATGTGACCATTGCACAAAGAATCGAAGACTCTAATTTGCCTAATGCCTTAATTCCGAATCCTAAGGAGAAGCTTGGCCATGGACAATCCCTCAGGCATGAAGGCATCGCTGGATTCCACGATGTCTATCCTCCGTTGGAGTTTGGGTGGCATGGCTGAAGTCCTACAAAAAATAATCGAATCTCCAGCCACGAGTTTCACCCATGTCCTGTCTCACCAGCGTGCGGAAACTAACTGACTGCTTGGTCTACTGCATAAGTAAACGCGCCAACATGCAGGCTACTAGTGCCATTCTGCGTAATCCGCGAAACGAAGGTGGTAGGAGAGGGCCGGAGTCAGAAGCCAAGATGCTCAGGAGACACGAAGCCCATTGTCACCATGTAGGCCACCTAAGGCATGTTTACGACTGCCTACCATTGAGAATCCAACAAGAAACCTGCATGACGATGTTGCAGCGTAAAGCTTGCATGTAGTCAGCCGGTGGCCGCCGAGCAGCAAGCAATATCTTCAGAATGGTCATCACCTCAGCAGTGCTGGTTGCCGTTGTTCCAGCGATTCTTCTCGGTACCTATTAGCCTACTATATCCTACTATCATTACTCTCAATGTGAGTGCCCGCTTCAGTGCCTAGCACGGAGGAGATGTGACTCTGATAACACCTTGTCGAAACCAAGCTTGTCCAGCAGGCTCGGCTGAGGGTACTGTATATGGGGGTTTCCGAAAATTGGAAACCCTAATATAGTACCCTAAATGGTAGCATCCTTATGATATGGACCCCAAAATAAGGTACCCCTCGTTATCGGAAACTCCCATATGCATGTTCGGGGCTTTTCGGGAGCTTAGCATATTAATGGTAGGTAGGAGACTCGCAGCCAACACCGCACGTCTGGATACTGATGTGTAAAGCACAGGCTCAATGTTTGCAATCCGCCGTTCTTCGGGCTCTCAACTGTGGAGATCCCTAAAACCTCGCAAACATGCAAAGCCCTGCAGGCGCTACCCACCTTAACCGCAACACCCGAGACCCACATGCCCCGAACTCTCGGGCTATGACCTTGCCCCAAACCCTCTAGACTCTAAACCCTAAACCCCTAAATCGCCAGACCTCTGTCATCAGGTCGCATTGATCACCGGCTTGCTCAAGGAGAGCCCACCCATGAGCAGCAGCGTACAGCCCCTGTTTGAAGGTTCAGGGAACTTGAACCCACCTTCCCAAAGACTTTACACTAAGTTACCACAATAAGGAAACCATATTATTTACTGTAAATCCCTATTATGGTAACTGAAATCCTAAAGCAGCTCTACACTCTAAACCCTAAGCTTATTCACTACATAGGGTGCGAGTAACCTGAAACTCGTCATCCTTGCGGAGCTCTGGGTGTTAGGACTGTTGGGGCTTGGTGCGGTTTGGGCGCAACCAAAGTTTTCTGAGGCCCTGCCCCTTTCCATGATTCAAGGCCAGGGCTCTGTTTGAGCTCCGTCGCTGCCGAACATGCAGGCGAATCGCTTCTCATGCATGTGTGTATATGCCACCCATGCCGAAAGACAGTGAGTGGAACCACACTTGAAAAGCTCTTGGGCTTGGCTTTTGGGTTTTGAGGGCTCATTGCTTCATCGCGGTCTCGCAATTGAAGCCTTTTCCGGCGGATGTGCAGGCTGTAGATTGGAAGGCCACAGGCGTCCACTGAGGAAAAACATGTTCACGCTCTCGCAACTCCGACAAGCCAGACGAGGTCTCTCTGCTTGGGTTTAGGAAACGAAGTACATTGCCGATTTGTGCTTGTGGAGCGATCTGTCGGCGCAACACATCGCCATTTGGCTTTCGAAAGGGCTCAAACTATGGAAACCAAGTGGCGCAGTCATCAATCCAGCAGCTATGTCAATGTAATGATCATCAGTCCTGCAAGATGAATACAAGCTCGGTGCTTGGACAAAGCGAGGCCCGTGCCCAAACGAACACACCCAAGGAAGTGAAGCCTGTTCACGCCCGAAAGATTGCAACTTTTGAAAGACTAGTCTCGGCGAAAGCAACCCGACTTTCGCGTGGTGGGAAGTATGCCAAGACAGATTGATGGGCATCCGATGTAGTGCGCTCTCTCGGCGAGGTCGTGGACTCTGACGACACGGGGACTAGTGGATGGCAGGATATGAGTCAGCAATGAGCTGCTTGCACGCTGCGACGTAGGTGTACACAGATTTAGTGAGCATCAGACTTCTTAAAGATGGCCAGACTTAGTATAGCTAAGTTTAGCATTCGGGTCACCATATTAGTACTTCCTTCCAGCCCAAATCAGAGTACGTATAGCCTTAATTGCGAAGTCCCACGATGCCCCAAGTACTGCACCCAAAAGCACCGAAGAAACACATGTCACAGAGCTTTCCGAACCCATGTGAGTCCGGTGCAAGTTGCTCCGGTCGGTGGTCCCCTCAGGCCAGGTGCCCTCGCCCCAGAAGATGTAAAATGCCTTGCGGTAGCCAGGACCTGAACCAAAACACGACAGCTGAAGGCTGCACTTATACGGGATGCATAAATCTGCACAAAGTGCGAGTAAGGCTGAGTAAGGCTTGGCAATGGGTCAACTCAATACATAAGCCAGGACCAGCCTGACTTGTTCAATGCCCTTGGGCTTAAACCCGAAACCCTCAACTCATGCCTGGAAGCCTTCGTCTCTCTGCGAGATCGAACACGGCACTAGAACCCTTGTAGACCCTCTAAGGAACCAACTCTAAACCCTAAACTAATTGCTGAGACCCTCAACCCTGCATCACAAATAATTGTGTTCTTCAGCTGCTCGCGGTTCTACAGGTATGAGCTTCTCTTCGTCGTGGGTGTACTTATTGGGTTCTTTGCGTGCTGCTTTGACATGGAAGGCGTTCTGGGGAGTGTTTGTGGCTGCCAGCACTACCTAAAGATCCAGAGACTTAAAATTCTACATTGCCGGGGTTGGATACGGTTGATGATATAAATCCTGCATTACCCATAATAAGGAGTTTACTATAATTCCCATAGTTTCGGGTCCTTAAGGTAATGCAGGATTTATATCATCAATAGTATTAAAGTCGTAGCCGTAGCCAGAGTGGTCCTCCCTTCCGTGCTGTCTGACAAAACTATCAACAAATGTATGCTGGAGAAGACTTACCAAAAGAGCTCTGTCTGCCCTAGATAGTAGCCGTTGAAAATCCGAAAACCCCAAGTCGTTGCCGACATGTAGTGCGAACTTGCTATTAGTTCCGGCTTGAGGCACAACCAGGTTTGACATTTAGGTCCTCGTGGTCGGTTAGGGTTTACCTGAGCACCCAGTCGGGACGTCACCAGTTGAGGCATGTGAGCTCTCGGCGTGGCAGACTTTGCCCGATCAAGTTCGGACACTTATGGCCGCTTCTCCGATACTTTGAAATTTGAAACCTGACCCAATGATTGCAGCATGCCCAGAACAGCAGCTGCAGCCAGCCTCTCAGCCCGAGTCAGCCCAGCTCGAAACCATCTCATCAGCACCATCTTGTCATATCGGCAGCAGTTCCGCAACAGTAGGCACCAGTATCATATCCCATCAAGGTTCGAAACCGTCACCGTATCAGCATTTCTCTCGAAAAGCGAGCAGGCGTGACCAACAACACAACGGGAAGTAGGGAACGTGATCAAATTCCGCACCAATGATGACAAGAGCTCCGGCCAACAGCAAACATAAATAGTGCTTTAAGAATTTCTATAATACATAAGTTTCGGAAGCACCAAAGCAGGATCGAGCCTATCACATGGGCCATCTTCTGTGACCAATTCCGGGCTACGCCGGCTCCAGAGATCCCATACCTCAGCCACAAGAGAGCTCAAACAGAAGGTTAAGTTTACACTCTCGCAACTCGCCTTAGGGTTGAGGGTTTAGGGCCTCTAAGTTTGGATATGTTGACATTGCAGCATGACACAAAGATTGCAGAGAAAGCTGGGTTTACATCAAGCAGCCAGCAGACTTTGTCGCGCAATGTGGCCTAGAAACCACAAAACCAATGTCGTCAATACAGACGAGGTATGGCAAGGGATGTTTGCATGATGACCGGATCGCGGCAATGATGTGAAACTCAACAAAAGGCACACATCCCGAGGCACGGTGAGCAGTTACTGCGCCGCTCGAAGGCGTTCTGCATGTCACCGTCGCAATCGCCACCGTCTTCAGTGTCATCATCACAGGAATGATGATGCTCCTCCTTCTAACTATCACAAGAAATGCTTTTCTTCATCCTAACCATAGGCGTGACCAACATCAACGCCACCGGCTTCCCGGCTCTTGTTAGGTGTCATGTCTTGCTTGGGCCTCGAAATGCACGGCTCAAAGCCAACTGCCATGAATGCAGACTAGGTGCTCCATCGTGATGCAGAAGGCGCCTCCCAACTGATGCAAAAAAATGGTTGCAACACAACGCACGTAGCTAAGTAGGGCTGGAGCTTACAGCCCCTGTCGTTCAGGGAACCCGTGCGAAAACAGGAAACACAGGGTGAGAAAAGCCCATTCGCGCAAAGACGTCTGTGGAATCCCTCATCGGGCAGCTCCAGCACTCGCTTTTTCTGGAGCTGCTTCGGCCCTTCTTGGTTGGGAGATTGACTCCGAATCTATACCCCCCTTAGAACCATGAAAAAAAAACATTTTTTGAATGTTCTCTTGGGTTTTATATGAACAAAATAAAACATACTTCCTAAAAAGAACTTAAGGATTCTTCTACCTGGACTCCAATCTCCAAACCCAAGACCTCACTTCGAATCCTCTGCCCTGTCTCAGCCTATGACAGCGAAAACCTCGCCGAGGCCGTGGAAGGAAAACCTGAAGGGCTGGTCCTTTTGAGGTAACATAGTGGCTTTAAGAATTAGAACGTGGCTCCTTCAGGCTTTTAGAAGGCTCTGTAGAGTCGCTCTCGGCTCTGCCAACTACGCTGTGTCAGAGCGTCCAAGCTGCGTGTGCTATAAGGCTCCGTAAAGGGATGTTGAAATGTTTTGGTTTAACGTCTTTTCGTAGTTTTTTCGCTGGGGTGTTAATATGTAGAACAGGGTTCTACGGTGTATTGTGGTCTGCTGCTAATTACATTCTTATACAGGGACGACAGGGTAATAACCTATTCCTGTTTATTTATGCAAATCGTTAAAGCACCTGTGGGAGCAAAACTGGGTTATGGTTTATGATGTAGACCCGAACAGGAACCATGGCTTAGGACAGGCCGGACATGTGGCTTAGCATTGAAGGCTGTTCATGTTGGTATATAACCACACCTGCACTGACACCACACACATGAGCATTGAAGAAGGCACTACAATTGCGCCAGCATGTCTCTCAACAGCCACTTCGGAGAACGACTTGAGAAGCAGACCCTCTGCATGCTCGGACGGTGCTCGCCACTTCTTGACGGTAGGAAAGGCAGCAGTCAAGACACTTAGGACCCATGACATCAAACTGGTCTGGAGAGGCAGCAGTCAAGACACTTAGAAGGACCCATGAGATCACAAACTGGTCTGTTGGCTTGGATGCAGGGCACATTGAAAAGCTGCTAAACCAAAACAGCGTAATCCCTTCAGACCCAATCCTTTCAATGGCTTCCCCTGGGACAAGGCCGGAACATTGCTACTTCCAGAATGAACTGACGAAGGGCTCCTATCTAAGCTATTCCTCCGCGCCTTGCATATCCTTAACCCTAATTAAGCAATGAAACCCTAAACCAATGAAATCCTAAACCCTAAACCGATGAAACCCAAAACACTAAACCACTGAGCCCCTAAACCCACAAACAGGGGAGTCTTGAGAGCCCGAGGGCGTGTAACAGCTTCCGCGTGTTGGTAGCCGCGCCTTGGTTGGGAAAAGCTTTTGCTTTCTGGTGTTTTTAAAATGCCCTCCTGGGAAAAATTTTCGGGTTTAGGGTTTGGGAAGTTGCACAAGCTCGACGAATTTAGGCTTCATGGGAGTAAATGTCTGTGAGACACGGAATGCACAGTGAGATTGGGGTCATGGTGTTGCTAAGGTTCACGGTTGCGGGTTTAGGGGTTTGGGGGTTCAGGGGTTTAGGGGTTTAGGGTCTAGGGGTTAGGGGTTTAGGGGTTTAGGGGTTTAGGGTTTTAGGGTTTTAGGGTTTTAGGGTTTTAGGGTTTAGGGTTTCGGCGCTCGCGCTTCGACAACCCAGGCGAGGCATATGCTTCGGGGTCTGGTTTAGGGTTTAGGGAAATGTACAGCAGAAGGAAAAGAGCACCGACAGCAAAGCTGCTGCAGTACGCATGAACAGACAGTGGCGCAGTAGTACTCTTAATCGGCTGAGTACTCTATGGCAGCCTTTAACCTCGAAGTTGTGATAGGGTTAAAAGTACTGTATACATAGACCTAATATTTCTATGTGTATTTCTGATACTGAGTTGCATATACATGCAAACACAGCACGCCACAAAAGGTCGAAGGCTTGCCTACCCAACCCCGACATGGCCACGATCATTATCGCGGTGCTGAGACACAAAATAAACAAGCACTTGGACTTGGAACCATAAACCAGCCTTACGAAGTTCGCAGAGACAACTTGTGGCTCACTGTAAACCCTGTAAAGCCAAACGGCTTAGGGCTTAGGAAGTTTAGGGTATAAATAGGGGCCGGTGTCCGACAGCTCCATGTAGGCCAGGCCGGAGAGAGCACATGCCAGGCCGGCCAAGATCCAGCTAATGCAGGCTGATGGACCTTTCATGGACTTGCCGGCACTCCAAGAGCATCCACTTAGGAGTATTCCATAATGAGAACCCAGAATATGTAGGAAGTCTTGGTATGAGTAAAGGGGGATTCTGAATCAAGTGATTGTCTGATGTCTCTAGGTTCCGTTGTCATTGTAAACCTCCCATGCGAAATGGGCGTGTCTCACCGGCTACTTGTTTTGAGTGTACTGGCTGTTTTGAAACTCTGCTGAGCGTGGTGGTGGCGACCCAACCATTGTGATGATGTCCGTTAACGAACAGGAGATGCCCACAATGGTGGACATGAGTCGGCATCATCGTCATATCCGTCTTGCTCTTTTAAATTTCATCATCTCGATCTTCAGCATCATCATATCCGTCTTTCTCAATATCATCAACACCATCATGGTCAAAGTCAACCTCATCACCATCATGTTCATCGCTATCGCCATCGTCATGATAACGGTTATGGCCATAATCCTTCCCATGTGCCACCCATCATCACCGTTATCATCAATGCTATTTCTTGTACATGTAGATGCCCGTGCAAAACATGCATGTCGATTGCATCACGGCCAGTCTCCGTAGTCTCCGAAAGAGTCACCGACACAAGGATTTTCTCAGTTGGTCATCATCATCAGCAGCAGCGGCATCATCAACAATGAAATAGTAGCGGCAAAACTGCTTCATCCTTTGGAATCTTCCCATCCATCGTATCTTCGCATCCGAACAACACATTCTGAATCTAATGCAACCTTGTTCAGGCCGACCTTTTCCTGCACCAACATCACCATTGTCATCAGACTGCAAACCCTCAACATTGTCACCATCACCGGAAGTTGGATTAGGTTAAAACTGACTGACCAAAACACACGACAAGAAAGGGAGCCGGAAAAAACAGGAGTCTCCCGAACATCGCAGGCAAGGTCATCTAGCAGGTCTAAATGCAGAAAGATTTGGCTCTCAGGTAGTGCCACTACACGGTCACCACCCCGGAGGCCCATCATGACTTCCTTTCGGTGCGCCTGCGACTGGAAGCACCGATCCGCTCAAGACAAAAACCCCCGAGCCGACCTCATCGAATGCGTTTCGTGCTGATGGTTTTGGAGCTTTTTGAAGGGCTTAGGGCTTTAGGGTTTCGGTTTAGGGGTTTAGGGTTTAGGGGCTTTTTGGAAGGCTGGGGTCTTCTGATTTCACCCGTTCGGTCGGCATGGCGTTCTTCCTGGCGTCAGAAAACTCTTACATCACCCAGCAAGGAACTGTTCAACCTCTCCTTCTGCCACAAGCAAGGCTTCACTAAGCGAAGGGTTGTTTAACCTTCAACGCCTAAAGTCCCTCTATCCCGAACGTGGTGCCCCAACCGCAAACCCTAAACTCCCTAAGCTTCAACAATCCCAGAGACTCCAATATCCCTAAATTAAGCAATATACCTGAAATTATACTAGGATCCCAAATATGATTGAAAGTATATTCCTTATTTAATTAAGGGATATTGGAGTCTCTGGGATACCTAGACCTCAGCCCTCAAGCCCTGCACCCCAAAGCCCAAACCCCCAAGGTGCCAAGGTTGAACCCTGGGGCCAAAGCCCTAAATCCAGGACCCCAGAAAACCCCTAAACCCTAGAACCTACGTAAACCCTACAAACACTGTGAACTTCTGCAACCAATGATTGAAAGATATTGAACTATACCTATATACAAACACATGCATGCATGCATGCATGCATGCATAAGTATGTACATGTACATGTATGTATGTATGTATGTATGTATACAAACATGTGTGTACATATGGGGAGCAAGAGGGAGAGAAAGAGAGAGAGAGAGAGACAAACAGAGACAGCGACGGAGAGGGAGAGAGGGAGACTCTAAAAGGCTTTTCGACTCCGGGGAGGGCGCAGTGCTACCGATGCCGATGCACAGGAGGTCGAAGAGCCCCAGCCTCGTTGAAAGGAAAGCTTAGGCTCTGGACTCTGCAACTCCGATGTCGACTCCGAAACGACTTCGGGTTAAGGATTTGAAGTTACAAATTTGGGGTTAGGGTTTGGGGATTAGGGTTTAGGGTGCATAGAGTTGTGTAAGCGCCTCAGGATGCCGTTCGGGGCTTTCTTGAAGCATTTTTGGGGTTTGAGTTTCTGGAAGGGGCTCACAGGGCGGTAGGGATTAGTAGCTTCCCGGAATTAGCAGTGCCCAGGGTTTCTTCCTACAGGGCCCTTTCCATAAGGATCTTTCTCCTAGGGTGAAGTTTATTGGGGCTACTTGAAGTGTTGCAATCGTGGGCTTCAATGCCCTTGCTTTCGGGCCGGGGTCCTCCACCACACCCTGCAAGCACAGCGCAGAAGGAACAGTCTGATGTCCTTTGCCCTGGATCCGAAACCGTTGAATACCTGTCAAGCCTGAACCCTGAAGAGGGGATCCATGGACACTGGTATGTTTTGGAGTTGGGGCGTAGGGCTTCAGATCTTCAGTAAGCCAGCCGTGGTAAAGGCAGCTTCGGGTTGAGCAAAGGCCTGGCAAGGGACAGAAATCCGCGTGGTCCTGGCCACAATGTGCTCATTCCCGGCGATCTATGCAGCATTTATACATTCGTTGCTGGAGGCTTCGATCATCTGATACGTTGCTCTGACGTGAAACATTGCCAGAGGCTCAGGGCGGTTTTTCTTTCAGGATTTCTGCAGCGACCAGACTTCGCCGAGACTAGGGGGATGAAGCTACTTGGGAGTTCGAACTAAAGGGACCCTAAACGATGCGCCTGGACAGAAGCATCCCCAGGTTGAACCCCCGAAAAGAAGCCCTGTGTGCCCTTACTTCACATGACATCCTCCCACGGACATCAGCCGTGATGATATTCCCATCTTCTCTGCTTGATATTGGCAGAAGCACTGCTGTGGCAGCGTCGCTGCAGAACACCTTCGCCCGATTTTCTGGAAGTGGGCGAAGCTCAGCTCGTGAAACCTGATATATACCCCCTCCAAAAAAAGAACACGCCCAGCCCGGAAGCCCCGAGGCCGTGATGCCAACCCTAAAACCCTACATCCCTGAAACCCTTTTCTTCAACCTGGTACACTTCACACCGAAACCCTAAACCCCTAAATCCTAAAATCCTAAACCTTAGAACCTGAATTCCCGATGCCTCTGATCAATACTCCCTACTCAAAGGCTCATGGGACTTAGCAAGTAAGATTATAAGTAGGTTATAATTAGGATAACCCCACTTAGGGGACTTATAACCCCAGTTATAACCTACTTACTAAGTCCCATGATCCTTTAAGTAGCTCGGGCTCACCTCGTCTCTGTCTCGGGCTCCTCATCGATCTCCGCTTGAATGGTAGCCTCAGATCGAGGAGTTTCCGAAAAAAAGGGTTTCGGCGCTCAAACCCTAAACCCTAAACCCCTAAACCCTAAACCATAAACCCTAACCCGGACGAAAAATAGGGTTTAGGGTTTTGGTTTTTTCCCACCCGCCCAGCTGACAAAGTCGCACCGCAGGGAGCTCGTCCGAAACTAATCACAGGTTTGCAAGTCCCAGGTTCGTTGAGGGGTGCTGAGCTTCACCAACCCAGGTTTGGGGTTTACGGTTTAGGCTTTGGGGTTTAGGGGTTTCAGCAGGGGTTTAGGGGTTTAGAGGTTTAGGGAAGGTGGGGGACCCTAATGTAGTCCCCTATTCTACGGACCCCAAAATAATCGGAAACTCCCATTTGGGGATGTTGGGTTCGGGTGTCTGGTAATCTGGAAACACAGCATGTACCAAACAGACACAGTGCAAGCACAAAAATCTGTTTATATGCTCATGGTTTTCTGCTTAGTAACTGTTGATTATGATTACCGCACCACCGTGCAGGACAAAGAGTCTGCCGTTGCTTGCCTTCAACTGTTTTTGCATTCTTGGGAGTTAAGTTGCTCTAGAGCCTAAACCTCAAACAGCGTGGACATCTTTGCAATCCAAGTACATACACCAGGGCAATCCATGCAATCCACTGGCCGAGTGCATCCTCTTGGACGCTAAGCGGCCAAATCAAGCTTGCTGTTTGGGCTCCTTCCTATTGTTATCTGCAAGATCAAGTTGCGTACCGGGGGATGCGGCCGGTACAGGACTGCTGCAGTTATGCTGTTCGAATCAAAAGCCACAGCCGAAGCTGTGGAACCACCGCGTGCACCTAGAGGGCATGCCTCGTGCGATCAACGATCTAATCCCTCTTGCGCACCCCGTAGTGTTACCACGTTGCTCCGAGAAGTAAACATGTAGCCGCGAAGCACACTATACCCATATATGCGTGATTGTCAAAATTATGGTCCATTTTTGGGTCCCTAATATAGTACGGCACCTATTATTTCAGGTACCCAAAAAGGGGCTTTAATTTTGACAACCACCCATCCATATATATATATATATGTAGCTTTGAGACGCTTCCCTTCCTGTCGGCCCCTTTCTGGCTAGTCACAGTGTCAGTATCGTTGATATGGTTTCGGCTGCATGGTTAACACTGCGGTCATAAAGCTCGGGTCTACTTATAAATGTTGTAAATGCTGATCTGGCTGGCCCTTCTCGTCAAATTCTCGATTCGAGATCCCAATGGGTGTGCTTCCCTCACACCAAACTGAGCACGACTATCTCACCAGCGAATGATACCGTAATCGCTAACGTCTGCTCACTGCTGTGAAGATGACTTGGAGCAAAGTTCCACTTAGTCATGGATAGTCTGATCGGAGTTAACAACTGTCGTGCGATTGTGCTGGCTATTGATCGAATCCCCCTAAACCCTACACCAGCCGAAAGGCTGTTGTTTTCCGAGATGAGAAAGTGTAGAGCACCTGTTTGCGGTGAATATTCACGATGCTCGACTCGCTCTCAGATCCTGATGGCAGGGTCAGGAGAAAAGCAGGGATACCTTTGAGATCCTATGGGTATACACTATGCATGCGCATGTATGTACCTATAGGTATGTATGCATGCAGACATGCATACATGCGTGTGTGAGTGTGTGTGTGTGTGTGTGCGTGCAGCCATGTATGTTCAGACAAGCATGCACACATGCATGTATGTATGATGACGCATGAATGCATTTATGTGCCCATGTGCGTGTGGATACCAGGGCTTACACTCTACACATGAAGAACTATCGTGTGCATCCCAGTATAGACTTTACAAAAAGACGTGTGCACTTGCTTGTTTAGTTCTTTGAAGACATACAGAGATGCAAATGTCTGCTCTGGAACAATGTGGAGGGGTGTGGACTGCCTCTGACATCGGGAGCGTTACACAAGCCCGGTAGCAAGATGTGGCTGAGCTTGCTATTCGAGGCTTTCGGAAGCGTGTAAGGCAAGCACAACACGACCAACACCACGACGAACGCAAACACCGGACATGTCGCCCCTACATCGCAGCCCTACCCACTCACCGACTACGGGGAAATGCTTCGTGCGGTTCTTATATATGCTGCGGTAAAGAGGAAGCTTGCTGTAAGGGGGAAGAAGAAGTGGAACCTCTTCCGGCGATTACACGGACAAGGTGGAATAGTCGCAGTAACAGACAATAAAGCCCTTACGCAAACCCCGAATGTAATTCAAAAGTAAGGAAGAACCAGTGAAAGACTTCAATCTGAAAGGAGCGGCCTTCAGAGGTGTACTCCTCGTCAGACTCCGACATGGTCGCAGGCCACTAGGTCAGAGGCACTCAAAGGTTTTGTGTCAAGTCCTAAACCCTAAAAACCCTAAACCCCTAAAGGTTTCCCGGTGTTGTCACCGATTGTCTTGGTGCCCTTGTGCCTCGCATCTGCTGTTCTGCTGATAAGAAGTGCTCGCCTAAAAAGCAGCGACCTGTTGAGAAAGCCATGCCGATTCCTACCATTGCGTTGAGACTTGCACTGCTACTGATACAACTGTTGCTATGCTTGCTTGTATGATTATTGCTTGCTGATGCTATAGTTTTACTACAGCCAATTCCTGAAGCCAAAGCAAGCATCCGCACAAAAGCACAACAAAACGAACCGGATCGCTCTTCCCTCAATTTTCGCTTTTGGTTAAGGGTTTATAGGGGCATCCGACGGCCAGATATCTGCGTAAATCGCGCCTTCGCTCAACAATGTGACCGGCGCTGCTCGGTGATTGGGTAGAGCATGTTCCTTTCCTTTTCCTTTGCTTGCAACTGGGTCGGCGAGACGCCGCGGATTTTCGCAGCAAATACGCAGTAAATCATGCTATCTGAGAGTGCGGCAAAATTCATAAATCAAGGTCTGAAACTTGTAAGCCCAGATGTGACTTCAATTATAACCCACCCAGTTTTTAAAGCCGGAACTCGAGCAACCCGCAACAAACAGCAGGTCAATGAACTATAGTACAAGGGCGTTAACAATTACCTATGCTGTTTTGCGGTTTCTTTTAATCATACTTATGCTTGTTCTACTCGGCACACGGCCCCTATTTTACACTCTGAAAGGGGGGGTCCCCTTCAAGCTCAAGTTTGAGATGATCTTCGGCCGCACTCTCCATTTCCAAACGGAAAGCCTCGGAAAAGAAGCCCGGGTGTCTAGCTTTCAGGGATACACTCGCCTCTGCTAAAACTATGATTCAACGGTTATTGTGATTATGATGACTGGGATGATCATTACGTTTACTATGAACATGATTAACATTATTAGTAGTGTTTCGCATATGTGTATATAAATCACAGCACAAGGCTTGGACATTGCACGGCCTCTCTGCTTAAGCCCTGAGCCAAGTCATCATTTCCGACGGCTCGGTTTCGTGAAACTCTGCCCTGGCTGTGGTCGACCTCCTCCTCACGGTGCTCCGACAATTAAGGGTACCTTATTCTGGGGTCCTTTTATAGTAAGGATCCTACTATTCAGGGTATTATAAGTGGCTAGTTGAAAAATTCAATAGTCCCCTCTTCTCCGCATGAAGACTCACGCGAAAAGGTTCGAACTTAGAGGCTTGCTTGTTGAGGGCTCTTCTGGTCTCGGGCCTATCCGTCGTTTTCTGGATCGTTTATATGTTTATACCTGTATCTTAGTTTGTATGTGTATACATATATATATATATATATGAATATGAATATATGAATACATATTAAATAAAAGTGTGTGTGTGTATATATATATATATATATATACATACACGCATGCACACACACACACACAATATTCGTTTTGACGTCGAGGTATGGGTTCCCTCCCTCCCTCCGTCTCCCTGACCGGACCGAATTTGAACCCTTTGCGTTTCAGCCTCTAGCCAGGACGTGTTCGGGGATGCTACGCTCCATAGAAAGGGCTGACGAAACAGACTCTGCGGTCTCCATCAGCAGGAAGGCAGTCCTTAGACTGCCTGGCGTATTGCAGGATTCTGTCTATTAGCAGTGCCATGAAGAAGAGCATATGAAGCAAGTTTGAGCCGCAAGTGAACCTATAAATGGTGAGCTTGGGGCCCGAGTGTACGCTCCTGATAAGGAAACAGAACTACAACCATCCTGGAATCCGAACACAGCGGATAGCTCCTTGGCTGCTAGCAGTCGTACCTGGGTACAAGGGAATAGGTGGGGGGATTGGGGATGTAGGATTCATGGCGAGTTCGGGGGCAGGTTTGCCTCCGGCAGTGCTAGATTTGAGACCTTCATTTAAAATTTCGCATTGGAGCTGGAAGCCGGAAAAGCTTGTGTTCACAGTTGGTTGGTTCCCACATCGCAGTCCGAGCAAGCACGGTCTTAGGGCTTCTTGCGGAAGGCTAACTGAAGGGCTGATTGCAGTATTTGGCAAAGCTATCTGCAGTGCATGTCGACATCTTTTCTGGTAGAATCTGGTAGAACCCTCAACATGTGACAAACCGGTACAGCATCTGCTGGGTTGCGAGTGCCGCAGAGCATAATCCGAAGCCCACAATCCGGTTTTGGGGAATGGTTTCCGGAGGGGCGATCCCATCTCTGCAACACATAATGTCCACAAACTTCGACCTGGTATTCCAACATGTGTTCGGCAACCGAAGGGTGCCGTGCTGGAAATACTGCCAAGTGACTTCTGAGGCTCACGGTGTCGTCTCCTACAACAAGGCTCTTTTGCATGTTTAGAAGAGTTTCTTATAGGAAGTTAGAGAGCGAGTGATAGGGCTGTCCCAAGGTTTTTTCACACAGGCTGCTAGAGGGCTCATTTCTTCTTTGTTGCTTCCACGACTTCTCGCAAACGAAAGTTGGTCTCCTCTTGGGATCTTGCTTCATCTTAGACCCCTATACCCTCATGCTTGAATTTCTGTGCAGCCTCTGCCAGTGAATCTTCATGGTACTATGACAGCCTAATTACCGTTACAAGCTCTACGGTTCAACTCTGGGCCCTAAACCTTACATCCTAAACCTTAGACCCCAAAGAAACCGTAACCCGAACCCCTACAACCTCAAAAAACCCTGAAACCCTGGCCCACAAAAACCCCTAGGCAGCCCTTGAGCACCCGGCCTCAATCAGATTTCTGTATTACATACTCGATAGCAACTCCTCGACCCGAAACCTGGATATATACAACCACGAACCCTCAGCCCCAAAGCCCTACACCCCTAAATTCTCCAACCCTGGACCCTTTTGGAGCAGCCACGGCAATGCACCAAGCCCTGCATCCCTTTAGCCATGCTCCCAACCAACCGTTACTCCCAGAGCCCCGAAACCACTCCAGCCTTAACGCCCCTCAGCACTTGTACCCTAAACCATCCAATCCTGAAGCCTTACCGAAGCCAGAAACGGCCCCATTAGCCTCGCTTGGAAGAGGTCTTCGACGGCGTCCGCGGCCGCACGTTGGTTCGTTCCTGGCCTTCCCGCCTGCGGAGAAACGGATTCATGTTTGTAGCATTATTCTTGCGCTGTATAGGGGTGTAGAATTTTCCCAGCCCCAGGATTTCAGAGGCGCTTGTATGTGTTCTGCTAGCTGAATGGGGCGACTATTCTCTGCTTTGGATGGGGCTCGCTCCCTGCAAGAGGGATCCTTGATTGCAGTGTCTCCGAGCTTTGAACGTCTTCAGGGTTGAGGACTTTAGGATTTTGGTTTTGGGGTGTAGGGGTAGCAGGAGGTTTAGACGTGTTTTGGGGTTCAGGTGGAAAGTATATGAGGGATTAGGTATATGAGGCGCATTAACATACATTTCGCTATGCATATATATATATATATATATATGTATACCCTGTAAATTTGTTTATTGAAGTGAGTTGAGGTGGCTGTATTAGTGAGCCACAGGGTTTAAGGGTTGAGGGGTTTACCGTTTAGCTTAGGGTTTATCTGACCCTCGCCGCAAGCTTCGCTTGAGCGGATTCGGTTGCCGGAGGAATTCGCATTTGTAGCCGGGGTCAGTGTAAATACCATTCAGGGTTTTTCCTCGCCACTTAACCCTTTTGGCCTATACCGAAAATCATCGACACAAGTTGAACTTGAGCATTCAGGGTCTAGGGTTGTTTTGGACTTTGTGGTTGGGCTTGAAACAAGACCCATCTGAGACAATGCTTGAACAGTACGCAGCACAGCTGTTCACAAAACCAAGAGCCATGCTCAAGCGCTCAGTTCGTGTGGTGTGGTTTCCAATTAAGGTTGAATCAAGCAGCTCCCAGAGCTGTATGGGAGTTTCCGAAAATAGGGCTACCTTATCCGGGCTTCCTATAGTACGGATCCTACTATTTAGGGTACTATATTAGAGTCCCCTATTTTCGGAAACTCCCATATATGAGGAGTCGCTCTCGGAGTTCCCACTGCAGTCACCACATGTACAACTCAAACAGGCGTGTTCTCTAGTCTAAGGCTTCTGTCGCTTGGCTGGTTCACCTTGATGCCTGTGTGCTCCAGGCTCAGGCTCCAAACCATAGCGCCTAAACCCTAAACCCTACCACGATTGGACAGTTCAGCAATTGAGGATCTGACCTGCCGGGCGAATACATCGAAGTAAGCCATACAGGGCACTGCGTCGACCTGTGGCCTCCTCGCGAAACAGCATAGTCCATGTGTAAGGAGAGAACGATCGCTTCTGCAGCTAAGGTGCGTCGGTACACGTTATGACTGTGGTGACTGTGGGCGTGGGAAAGCTCCATTTAGGCGTGGGGGCAGAGACATGTGAAAGCATTGAAGCCTCTCGTATTGACGTATGAGAGCATCAGTAACCCAGCTGCTGATTTCATGCCGGTTCACTCTAACTACATGTGGATATGTATATATATATATATATGTACATATATGTATATATATATATATGTATGTATGTATGTATGTATATATATATATATATATATATATATATGTGTACATATGTATGTGTATATATATATATATATATATATATGTGTGTATATGTATATGTATATATATGTATATATATATATATATATATATATATATACAGATTGATAAACAAATTGCTGCTGATTTGAATGCTGCTCGGGCACCGGGAAGCACCGTCTCCCGCTGGGGAATCTGGCGTCCTCGCACGACTTGAGTCTCAATCACAGAGTCCCCCAAGACTCCATGTGCCCATATAGTAGGTACTTCCCTAAACCCTAAACCCTAAACCCTAAACTATATGGGTGGGGAACCCTAAGGCAGAATAGTTGGTAGTATTATTCAGGCTCCGATATTAACTCCACCTGGAGCGACCTGGCATTTTCGGCCTGTCTGGTGCCTGAGCTTCCTTGTCCGATATTTACTGCCCTGAACCCTGAAGATCTACGACACTTCGGATCGGGAATCGGGGCATGTAGGGTACGTTTCGGGACTACGCTGCAACTGACCAGACTTTCCTGTTTCATAAGCAGCTTAACGGCACTCAAACAAATCTACAAGTAAATGGAGCCTGTGGCCTGTGACGAACAGCGTGAGTTTGAGCGGATCAAGACCGATACGCTGATAAACCACCTGCTGCATGTTGGACATGACATAGCAAAGACATACAAACAAACGAACAAACGGACATACCCCAGGTCCCAATCACACCCGAAACTTCACGACCTGTACGTTATCTATGCGCTACATGGTCGAGACACGCTTGACCCTTAACGGCCCTTATAACCGCAAGCCAAAGCCGCAGTCCTTTCCACGCGGCTGCGGCGTTCAGGGCAGCCTGCCCGGCAACAGTTATCATATCGCCGTTACGCAGATGCATGAGTCAAGGTGCTTGGGAATCGAGACAAGTGCTTGCGGTTCTCAACAAGAACAGGCTCGTTTCAATCTGTGATAACTAGACCTAAGAGTAATCCAGGAAAAAACGGTGCCCTTTTTGGTTTAAAGGGGTTTATAAGGGAACCCAAACCGTAAAAAAGGGAATAAGGGCATACTCTCGGTCCTCGATAATCATCTGCCCCGAGACCCCAAGCCCTCCTTCAGTCGACACCTCTTCCCTCCTTAGCGGAGCTACAAGTTAACCTTTGGGAGTATATTGGGACTACGTAAGGATTACGGAACATAAAAAACAAATCAAGGTTTTCCTCCTCAACGCGAGAAAGGTCTGAAGCGCTTGGGGAAGAGACCGACCAGCATGTAATCAGGCGAGGACAACAAGAAGAGCTAGACAGGAAGAGAGAGGGGGCAAGCACAGCATTCCCGGAACGGGAAACCCAAAACCCAAAAATGGCTCCAAAGCTGCCTAGCTTCCAAGGACTTGGGCTTGGGCTTGGGCCCAGGTATGCCGAAACATGAAGCACTGCGCTTGAAAGGTTCCCGATGAGACACAATGATGGTCTTCTCGAACCTTGCAGGTGTCGGGCTTGTGTCAAATCGAAGAAAGAAACTCGTAAAGATAGATTCCTTTGCATATGCTTTTGTGTGCTTTTTGTGGATTCACACCGGTTTGGATGTCTTTGCGCTGTGTCGAGGGTACACTGTGAGCAAGTGCTGGGATTTGGCTGTTGAAGCTCGGCATGTACTACAGTCTCCTGTCTGCTTGCTTCAAGTGCTTCATGCCTGGGCAAATTGTGGACAGGCTCGGAGACTTTTGAACCCATCGCACTTCGGTACCACGACCTCTGTCAACCAGTCTTCGGTGTCGACCGGCGACCATCAAAGGTCTCACGAAGGCTGGACGGTCTAAACAGCTGATGCCAGTAACTGACTACTAATGGAGATCTTCTCGTGGCCAGTTTACTGTCAGTTTCAAGCGTATAAGCAGAAAGTCTAAAGCTGGACAGCATAATTAGCAAAGAGCGGCACATGTTGTTCAAGATGCAGCCCCTCTAGGGCTCATGTCTCCATCGTTCGCTGCATCGCCGGGGCCAGATGAGTTTGGACATAGGAAGGACTCCTCAGGATGCAGTTCTAGGTGGGGCTTTTAAAGCCTTTGAAAAATATTAGTAAGTAAGATCCTCTTAAGCCCAATAAGGGAAAATATAAAATGTCCCAAAGCCCTATCTAGAGTTGCCCCTTTTTCCTGGAGACCCAAGACCCTAAACCCTGAACCCTATATGCTACTGCGTTCCGGTCTAGCCAATCACCAGACCCCAATCATGTTGACAACTGAAACCCGAGACCCCCAGCCCTAGACCCTAAACTCCGAAAGGGTTGTGCAATGTTCCTCAGGCTCCCATTGTTTAGGCCCACATGTTCCGGTGTTGATGCGAACTCGGATTCTCAAGGCTTCACAATCTTTGGGTTCAAGGTTCGAGGCTAAGGTATAGGGTTTAGGTCTTTTATGTGGGGCTTGGGGTTTAGAACTCAAGGTTCCGTTTCAGGGCTTCCGAGTGCGTGGCTTCGACTCTCGTGCTCAGGCAACATAAGGCTTCGGAGTTCAGGTTTCCAGATGGCCGCGCAGTGGCATGGCGGTACCCCAGCACGGAAAAATCTAGAAAGCCCTAAACCCTGAGCCCCAGCGACCGTGTTGAATCTCTGAGCCAAAACTTCGTACAAACCAAACATGTCTGGTGCCGAGTCACGTCACATTACCTGCTTAGAGGCTGAGTACCCCGGCAAAGGACAACCTTTCCTTTATTATGCTTGGTATAGTCTCACCACGAAAAAGGTTGTCGCAGCTTAATTTCAGGCCTCTAAAGGAGCACTGGGCTCCAGTTGCCAATGTCAACAATATACGGGCGACTGGCATTACTATTACACATGACAGGTGTTCTGACGTCTCACTCGCTGTCTTTCTCTCTCTCTCTCTCTCTCTCTCTCTCTCTCTCTCTCACTATCTCCCTCTCTCGCCTTTTTGTTGCATTTGTGTTCTCTCTCTCTCTCTCTCTCTCTCTCTCTCTCTCTCGTCACAAGTACTGACAAAGGACATATACATCTAATCATGAAAAAATGTACTCTGTCCTTCTCTCCGTACATACAAAACTATATTTAGATCCAGATGGTGTAATCGGACTTTTGGGTGCAAGGCGACCCGGCTCAGAACCTCAACAAAGCATAAGCTACCCAATTTCTGCAAGGGTTCACATCCTGTTATAGGAGCCACCTGATCAAAAGCTGTTGGCGGGTCATATTATGAACATCGGTCAACTGCGCCAGTATGCGCCAGCTATCTTTCTTCTTCCCATAGTATTATTATACTATCCCTTAGCTGAGCATTGAGCCAAGTCGGGGTCTCTTTCTGGAACTTCGACGGCTTAGGATACGAACTAAGGTTTATGCGGCTTATAACTAGGTTTTGCTGGCAAACCAACATGCCAACTGTGTAGTTATGGAAACGTCCCGACGTCAGTCGGAACCTACATAGACCCTGTAAGATTAATTACCTTTCACCTGACTCGCAGAACGAAATCACGCTGAGGAACCCTACAAAGGTAAGTTGCAAACCCTATGCCCCAACCTCAGCCCCAAAAACTCAGATTGAAACGAGGCCAGCAGCAACAAGCTTTCCAAAAGTCTAAACTTCTAACCGAAACCCCTACACTACTAAACTTAAACCCCAAACTCCCAAACTCCTAAACCCTAGACTCTAGACCCTACGAAAGCCAAGGCTCAGATGTGTCCCGTCTAGCCGCAATTCCGGCAGCACATTCAGTCGGCTAAGCTCAGTACCTGGTTGGGTTTAGGGCTTGGGAAAGTTTAGGCTTTACACAGGATCTGGGGTATAGGGTCTGACGTCGTGATATAGAGTCGAGGGCTATTGCAGGCCTCTTATTACTTTCAAAAAGGATTTTGAGGAGTATGGGGGGATACAGTTTCTATTCATTGTTACTCCCCTGAACCCTAAACCCTGAACCGCTGCACCTCTGGATTGGGGCGCAGGGCTGGGTGATGTCTGCTTTCTTCCAGGGGGTGCAAGTGCTGAGGGGGTGAGGGTTCAAGTCTAGCTACAGCAAATAAGGGTTTTCCATCCTCTCTCTCTCTCTCTCTCTCTCTCTCTCTCTCTCTCTCTATATATATATATATATAATACAGATAGTAAATAAGGGTTTGGAATTTAGGCTTCAGGGGTGGAGGCGTTCGGGGTAAAGACCATGTTCGGGCTGAGGGTTTATGCACTGTTCGTATAGATGCCTGGTGCCCCTAAGCTGAAGGAAGCCGGCCTTTGCCTTGGAGCGCTTCTCAATGCAGACATCTTGAAACGTGGGTGTTGGGGATAACCAGGTTGGAATCTGCAGTTATGCGCCTACATGTGCTGTGAGAACCATGGTGGACATGCCGGCTTTATGATTGAGAGTGCATAGGTCTCAATCGGCTCAAACATCGGAAGCCAATGGAGACATCCCGATGGTAAAACATATCAACCCCTGAAGCAGCTAATATAGGTGCCTTAACAATTAGAATAAGGTTTTGGGGGCCCCATTGTACTGTCATTATAATAAGGACCCCCCCCCAAAAAAAAAAAAAAAAAACAAGTAAAATAGTATCGGTAATTATTGAAGCCCCTATATCAGCCCCGAACACGCACCGTGGAATCACTCCAACACATTTGCGGGTGCCTCTTCGCCCTGCCACTGCTTGAGGTCCTCCCTCGTAGATGCCTCGGGAACACGGCGGCATGAAAGAGTTCAAAACGCTTCCACTTCGGACTTGACCACACTCTCCAGGAATTAGAGTTGTCATTATGGCACTCTCCTGTCCTAAGCCAGAGATCCGTAGCTATGGACCAGACACCTCGCCTAAGCCTCTTGGCTTGGGGCTTCGAGGATTTCACAACTTCGGTCTTCTGAAGATGTCTGCCCGGACTTTTTCCGGTACAGACATAGGAACTGCAGGCAAGCTCAGGCAGCAGGCTGCATCTGTGAAGTGTGATTGCAAGATGCCAGCACCAGCTCAGGGCACAAGGGTAAGACAGACGGCCGAAACCTGCATCAGGACTGACCGAAAATGCCTGAGTCCAAGCAGCAGTCAAGAGTGAGCAGCTTCACCCGCACCTGCCGAAGCCACGGGGCGATGCTAGAATTCCAGCACTGGCACGCCATCTTTGCCGACTAACCCGTTCCAACCCTCATTAGTGTTACGAGAATATAGAGACGGCTGGACATACAGATGCCACAAGCTCTGTTTCAGTCTATGTCCGAATACCTGAGCTGCCTGATCGCAAAGGTTCGCTGCCCTAGAGACTAGCCTTAGGGGGTCCAAGTAATCTTTGTTTTGATTCTTGGTACCCAAAAGGCTCCTAAAGTCCTATAAACCGAAACCCCTTTTTGACCAGGTCTCTCTGAAGTGCCTCCGGCGAGGCCGAATCCTAGATATTGAGTACCTGGTCATTGCGGGTACTGGCCTTGGCTAGGGCGGCCTGGCATGGCGCAGCCGAGAGAAGGCTATTGAAAGCCATGGTCAGGAATCCTGGGCAGACAGTGCTCGGTGCTGCCCCCCACCCTGTAACAATCTACATCAGGGGGCCGATGTTAAGGTAGAAAACAGATATAGATATAGACATAAGGATATAGACATAGATATGGACGTAGATAGATTGAAGGATCTATCTATCTTTATATCTATACAGGTATATGTATAGTATGTAGGTTTAGATATAGATATACTATAAATATCCAAGACAGCGCCACTTTGGCTTATAGTTGTCCCGGGGACTAAGGCTAAGGGCTACTACTTTGGGAGTATGCAAAAAACGGTCACAGGCTACTTGCTCGAATACGAAGTTAAGCTTGATGTAGGAAGCTGATGAAGAAAGAGTTGACCCTGAATGCCAGTGCATTGGGAGCTACAGTACGAGCTAAGCCTAAATGGAACCAAGGGAGTCTAACGAACCGAACCGGAAACCGGAAAGCCTCCCAGCAATTCCCAAGTCCTGCAAAGCCAGACCATGTCCCGCAGACCACAACATCCGCTCACCCCCCGAACTTCAAAAGCCTACACGCGCAGGACGAGAACAGGCAAGGCTCGTGTCTCCGGAAGCACAGTTGGCCTTGGCTGGCTAGCGCTTCTATATACACAGTTAAAAGTCGTGATGTGGTGACTGGTATGGAGTTTGATGAGGGTTAAAATCATGCTGGTCAGGAAGGGGAGAATGGATCTGTATCTGATTCCTGCTTCAAGCCGTGGTATCTACTCACAACATTGGGTCTTCAGCTAAACCCTAAACCCTAAACCGGTTCACGGGTGGTGCTGATCCCCGTGCTTCTCCCCTAGATCTCCACCAACAAAGCCGCCAGAAACAGCAGCACCATGATGCAGTGACAGAATGCGAGTTTCCGAAAAATGGGGGGAGGTACCTTATTTTGGGGTCCTTATAATAAGGATCCTAATGTTTAGGGTACTATTTTAGAGTCCCCTATATTCGGAAACTCCCCAATGTAGCGGCAATGATAGTTGTTCTGGACGTGATAACCAGGAAAGGCATCAAAGACTTCGATGCTCACGATCGTTGTGTGGTGCCCCAGATGTCTACTTGGCGATAATGCTGCTTTCCCTGTTGAAGAAGAAGAAGAAAATTATGATGCCAATGGCAGGGACTAAAAAGCCTGTGGGGGGCTTGAAGGATGGCATCTCGTTTATGATGGTCATGATGATAGAGAGAAGCGTCTCTGGGTGCGCTCTGGCTTTGTTCATCTCATCCTTGCGCATGCAGGGGACAGGCCGCCACAACTACTGAAAAGTTCAGGCTTTGATTTGCGAGCCTAGCCGTAGGCTTCAGTTCCCTGAGGCGCTTCTGGATCGAGCTGCGCTCCAGATACTGTACTACCTCGGGGTTGTTCACAGGAACCCGAAGTTTCAAGAACTACCCACATGCCTAACAAACCCGAATGAATGGTGGTTTCTTATTATAACTATAGTATAATCGCCCCCGAAAACCCTATTCTAATTATTGAGGCCCCTAATTTCCACCTGCAGGGATGGCCGGTGTCCCCCTACCACGGATCAGGCCAAAGCTGCACAGGGTGGAGGAAGAGGTCGTTGTGAACGAGCTTTCTGCGAATCCGCTTGAGGACTTCAGTGTAATGCCTGGCTGCAGAGATCAGGGGTGATGGCGAGCCCAAACCCTGAACCCTACTAAACCCCAGACGACCCGAAACCCTCAACGGAGGCCTTGAAAAAGCTCTGGGATGCTCAGATTGGGTGCTAGGTTCAGCTTTACCATGATTCACCACACTTCCGCGTGGCTCTTGTACGGCCTTGCTACTTGGGGGATTCTTACAAATTAACGTTACCTTGTTTGGGTCCTTTTGCTGCGACTGTCTATGTCCGGGTCCTTTGTTTTCTGAAGCTGCCCACGCTTCTTGCATTGTAGATCGTTGTTCGAGTCACCCTCCGTGCTGCAATTGCTGTCCGCTTCCTGGCTGTTGTTATGGTACTACGTCGGCCATATATACATCCCACATCCTAGAAGTCCTTGAAAGAAACCAGCGAGAGTTCCAGGCACGGTGCCCAATGAGAAGATACAAAGCATCCTCGACGCTTTCGTGCTTGCCCTGGAGCGGGGTATCCCCAGAAGACTTCTTGCAGGGGTGGGTTGTGGCGCAACAGCAGCTTCAATTCTGACATTTTGGGTTTTAAGTCAACACGCTTTCTCAACAGTGGATTCGGCAAAACTGCGGTAATCAAGAGGCGCAGCCACTGAGGTGAGCTGCAACCAGTAAAACTTACGGCGCGGAAGCCTGGCAGACTCCGTGCTATCAGGTTTCGCTTTGGGATTGAAAACACGTACATCTTTGAAGGCGTGCCTCTAACATACAGAAACCTCAATAAGCACTGCAGTCGCACTGATGGGCAACGTTGACCGAGCCTGCCTACAACACAGGAACAAAGGCTGCGAACAGCTACTGCAGGTGGAACATTGCTTCTCGTTCTCAAACTTACACTTATTGGTGTAAAGCTCTCACCCTGGTGGGTCTGCTCTCTTCGGCGACGTTCTCCGGTCGCTTCCTGTGGTTCCCGGTGCTATGTCTTACAAGGCAGAAAGCTCGGCAGATTTGAGGCTTTGGGTTTAGATGCTATCGTTTACTTGGAGGTTCACGGTAGTTGTAAGTGGGGTTATAAATAGGGTAACCATAGTTATACCCCATATAGGGGAATTATATCCCTACTCATAACTACCCATGAACCTCCAAGTACAGGTAATGAGTGAGGACTGTTGACACGTTGCGTTAGCTTAAGGCCCGCGCTGCGGCTGAATATCTGACTTTGCCAACCTACGGAGCGCCGTCCTTGCGAAACAAACACATCCGGTTATGCCTTCTCCGATTTGCACTGCTGCTTCTGGTCTTTGATCCTACAAAAGCAATGCCTAGTTGCGCCGGCCTTCTGCACGGCCTTCAGGACACCTTCTCGGCAGTCAATCTCACCCAAGATGAACCTCACGATCTGGTTCCGAATTCGGATAGTGCTTCGAAGCCGCCGTATCCTCAAAGATGAATATAGCGGCCTTAACAATTAGAATAGGGTTTTGGGGCTCATTATACTATACTTATAAAGAACCCTCGAAATAGTGTAGGTCATTATCTTAAGGAACTTAGGATAATTCTGATCGCAACATGGCTGACTCAGGATCTCATTGGCCGGTTCCATTGCTGAAAAGTTACATACCCAAGAGACTCAGACCCTATATCAAACCTCAAGAAACCCCTATAAACCCCTAAACTCAGAACACTAAGTCCCTAAATCCTGAAGCCCGAGTGGATACCAAGTCCCCTTGACTTCCGCGTGGCATTACGGGAGCCTCTACAGGCAAGACCGAGAGCTTGTCCCAGAAGGCAAACCTGGGCGCGTTTTATATAGCTCTGTGTCAGTAAATATACTTAAATAGTAATAGAAAATATGAGTACAATACATGTACGTATGTATACATACATATGTATCCTTGGTGGGTCCCCGAAGATTCTACATATTACACCAGTTATGGTAGTTTGAGACAGCAGCTTCCAACACAGACACGAGGTGTCCCAGGCATCCAACGTCATCCTCGTAGCTTGATTTTTAACTGTGGCCTTAATTAGACTTCAACAGTTCCAAGGAGCTTCGTGTAGAAGTTGCTTTCGTCCCGCAGATGCCAGATCTTCAACCCTGTGACCAGCATTGGGATGAGAACGTAGTGGTAGCTCCCGCGGCTGGTCGTGAACTCCACTGTCTGCCAAGACGTTGGTAGCACATGCGAATCCCCGATGACATACCTCAGATCGCCAATCCAACGAACGCTAAAGTCCATGCACAATACAGCCAACGACAGAGTGTACACTTTTTCACTTCTTCGATCTAATGAACATTACATTTTTGGGAGCACCCCGCACAGGCTTTTTCGAAGGAAGCTTACAGTAACTTGCATTCACCTGAAAACAGTTGGCACAGCCCGGAATCAAATGTCACTGCCAGACTCCTACAGCAACCAAACTCCGAAACTGAAGCGAGCTGACGAAACCCGCCAGACATGTTGCCGGTGCAGACATTCGGCTGGAGCTCTCCCTCCCTCGCTTTCTCCCTCGCGCTCTCTCTCTCTCTCTCTCTCTCTGTCTCTCTCTCTCTCTCTCTCTGTCTCTCTCTCTCTCTCTCTCTCTGTCTCTGTCTCTCTCTCTCTCTCTCTCCCTCTCTCTCGCTCTCTCTCTCTCTCTTTCTCTCCCCCTCCTGATCTTTCACTCTTTTTGAGTATAGAGGGACGGTTTTTAGCATGCGGATTTTCAAACGCCTAGACAAATCCGTTATACCATCCTCGTCGGGGGCCGCCTGTGGTCTTGAAACATGTGGCAAGTTCAACGTGGCCTTGGCTGTCTGGCCGCCCTCCACTTGATTGAAATTCGTCACCGTACAGTATATTATATACATGTATATATATACAGTAGCCGCCGGAAAGTTGGAAGGCGGCAATTGGAACGGTTGATGCGGCAACGGCATCTTCCAACTTTGGGTTTGACTTGGTCCCATCTTCCAACTTTAGGTCCCGGCGTCTGGACCGGTTGATGCGGTAACGGTATCTTCCAACTTTCGGTTTGTGGGATTCAGCTCCAGTAATGCACAGAGAGGAACCGCAATTACTTCGACCGCTCCAATAGTGCTGAGAGAGGGAAACGGCAATTACTACGACCACTCCAACAATGCAGAGAGGGAGAGAGAAAGAGAGAGAGAGAGAGAAACTGCAAGTACTACGACCGCTCCAGTATTGCAGAAAGAGAGAATCTGCAATTACTACGACCGCTCCAATATTTCAGAAAGAGAGAGAGAGAGAGAGAGAGAGAGAGAGAGAAACTGCAAGTATTACGACCACTGCAGTATTGCAGAGAGAGAAAGCTGCAAACACTACGACCGCTCCAGTATTGCACAGAGAGGAAAAATTGCAAATACTGCGACCACACCAATATTGCAGAGAGAAAACTGCAATTCCTAGGACCGCTCCAGTGTTACTCAATTACTACGACCGCTCAATATTGCAGAAAGAGAGATGCTGCAAATACAATGGCCGCTCCAATATTGCAGAGGTAGAAAAACTGCAGTTACTCCAGTATTGTAGAGAGAGAGACGGAGAAACTGCAATCAAATATTGGGTCTGCTTGGTCCCATCTTCCAACTTTAGGTCCCGGCATTTGGAGCGGTTCATGCGGTAATCAATAGTTGGAAGGTTGCAAACTTGGAAGAATCCAAAGTTGGAAGATGTGTTCTATTCCAATTGCGGGGTGCTGAAATTTTGGGTGCGCATCTTCCAACTTTGCGGCTGCGGGTTTATGTGTATATATATATAGTTGTATGTATATGTGTGTATAGAAATACATATAAACACATGCATGTCCATCTGCCCAGTCGTTGTCTTGTCCTCTCTATGTATCAAGGCGACATATAAGACTGAGCAGACTGACAGACTGACCTACAAACGCAGATCGCACTTCAAACAAGACATTGCCAAACACATTTGTATGCCGATGAATGCATATGTGTATTTATTCAAACATACATACGTACAGACATACATACGTACTTACACGCGTACATACACACACACATACATACATACATACATACACACACACACACACATACATACATGCACACATACATATGTACATAAATATGTATCTGTACTTATCTACTTGGCTAGATGTGTTCGTGCAAACATGTACATACAAATGTACGTATGGTTACTAAAGTCTTGCATGTGTGTGCATATACGTGCATATCAAATGACCGACCATATGCACATATATATATATATATACATATGTATATATACATATATGTATATATACATATGTGTATATATATATATATATATTACTTATGTGTATTACGTATATACATTTTTTAATCTTGGGCTTGCACTAACCATTTACTTACAGGTCTTCCGCCACGGAGCAGCGGCTTGAAAAGCGCCGGACTTCTGGGAACCGTCGCAGGGCCCTTCAGAGCCAGGATGTCCTCTATCATAGCATAGCAGGTTACAGCATAGCACGTAGTATGTATATTATAGCATAACAGTCTACATCATAGTATGTAGTAGGGTTCCAGCATAGAATCTAGGAAGTTGTGTGCTAGAGCATAGTATATACTACACTCTACTCAACTGACGGTCCGCTCCATGGGAAAGACATAGATTGGGCTGCGCAGGAGACTCTGGAATGCAATCTTATCCCCTTCTGAGGAATTTGAACAATCTAAGGCCCATGGTCTGTTTTGCATAGCTAGAGTTCTGAAGCACGAGAACGGCGCAATGATAAAATCTGGATTCAACCCACCGCATGATTGAAACCTGCGCGCTGTGCGTGAAGTCTCAATCACGGACCAGGAATCGGAGCCTTTCCCATACTGAAAACCTGCCGCGAAAGCTGTCCTCTGCCAGGAAACCCTTCCAGCACCCTCCCCCACTCAAACTAAGCAAGCAACACACTGAAGAGTCCGTGGATACACAAGCCTGAAAGAAACAGGAGCATGGGTAAATGGGTTGGGGCCTGAAGAAAACTCAGCACAATTTCACCATCACCCTTTCATTGCTGGTGAGAAACCCACATCTTAGCTTTGCTCGTCAAAATTCCTGAACCAAGGTTTTTGCTTGAGACCCTCGGGAGAAATCCTTGATGCAGTTGAAGTATGCATTCTCGTTGCGCACGGCGGTCAAGTGTAGCTCCAGACCCTGCCAAGAATTCGAGGCTCTTCTCACGAGAGAAAGAAAGGTACCCCTTAGGAGTATACATCACAGTCTGACGGCTGGCCTTATACTACACCGATGTTCAAATTGAACCAAGCAAAATGCAATCCTCAGTGGGATCTCCCAAGTAGAAGAGCGTTCCCAGCAGTGGCACGGACGCTCAAGAACAGCTGGTCTTCGACAAGTAGCACGAGACAGCAAAGTAAAAATGTCCGGGTCAGCCCCAGCTGGGGCATTGAAACAATCTTGAATCGTGCGATACGATGCAACCGGATTTCAAACCGAAACCTCGAACCCCAAACAGAATTCGGTTCAGCAGAAACGTTGTCATTGCATCTCATGCTTTGGCACTCGACTGCCTGGAGATACAAACTCGTTGTATTGGAGCACCGTGCATGTTTGCAGATGCGATTCCGAATGCTAGCTGCAGTACTATTTCCGCTATTCTCGTTACCATCGTACATGTTCATCGTCTTGACGCTTACTGTCAACATTCTCAATGCTGCTGCTACTACTGCTGCGACTATGACTACGACGACGACGACTACTACCACTACTACTACCGCTACTACCGCTACTACCGCTACTACCGCTACCGCTACTACTACTACTACTACTACTACTACTACTACTACTACTACAACTACTCCTGCTCCTCCTGCTGCTACTACTGTTCTTATTGTTGTTGCTTTTGTTGTTGACATTAATACTAGTGGTAATCGTGACATCTGTGTCTATAGCAATGCAGCAAGCGAAGGAAGCCTCCACACATTTTCCGAGCCTCGGCTTCTCAACGGAGCACTCCCCAAAGAATATAGAGGCCATAACACTTAGACTCGGACTCTTCGGGTATAGCACAAGCGTATGCGCACATATATATATATATATATATACACACACATATATAAATAAGTGTATACATATATATATATATATATATATACAGATATAGAAGAATATTTTAGCAATCGTTCATGCTTGAATATGAGGTTTGCATGAGCACGGAGTTTGATGACGGCAGAGTGGCTGCACAACGGTCTTGTAAGGATTCCATGAGGACTTGAATTGGTTCAAAGGACTCGTGACTCTTCAATGTTCTTGTTTCTCGTACTAGGGGGTTTCTTGGTTTCAGCAACTTTTTACTTCAAGCCCCTACGCCACCCATCGGCGAATCGAAGGCTCAGGGGTCTGTGAAGTAAGGATAGACTTCTAGCGAGGAGTCTACCGGGAGATCTGCCATGCGGTTGGTTCGTGGCTTGGGGGTTTTGGGGCTTTCGATTTCAGGTTGTAAGGCTGCTCATGCAAAGCAGTCCGTTGGTAGCTCATCGTGACTGGGGTGTCATCTTATGCAACACATCGCAGAAGGGCCAAGACTCAATGCAACCAGCCACCGAAGCACCTGCAAGGCGAGGTTGGAAAGGCTCAGCTGTTGACCCTCAAGTTTCTGCCGTCTAAACATCCCTACCACAAGATAAGCTGTAGGTGCGGACTGTTCAGGGACTAGGGCTGAGGCCTTGGCTGCGCGGCATTCAACCAAAGAATTCCCTTGCAATGCGAGCCCCAGCCCGAATATCTTCAAAGATGGTCATGCGTGTGGTGAGCAGGCAAGAAAAGGAAAACAACAAATAGCACCGATGGTGGATGGGACAGGACTGAAGAAGTCCGCCATCCGAAACCGTCTGACTCAAAGCTGGCATCTTCGATACATCATACGAGATAGTACACCATAAACCCCACCCGCACAATCCACGACAACTTCCACTCCAAACTAAACAGCTCTGACCTGGTCGTGGGCTGCGATCGCGCCCAAGCGAGGTGCACCGGCATTGACGGCCTCTGGCGGTCGCCTCCAGCTATCCTCGGGTAAAGCGAACAACAGAGTCAGGCCGCAAGCATTCTTTGCAGGTTCCGAATTTAGCTTCACTCTCGGCCGGCTCCAAAATACTTCTGAACAAACAACAGTGCCAGTCGGGTGCCATTGAGGCGACGGCTTTCCGAACCGGGAACTGCTCCGAACACTTAGTTCTAGGGGTGTTGATCATGGTCTCTTGTGGGGAGACATCTTTTTCCCTTTAACATCTGGGTTGAAGGAGGAGACTGGTGCTAAAAGCTATGCTTCTTTTTAATGGTTGTCGGCGTTTGACATCGGCTGAAGCGGAATCTACCGGCTCTTTTGTGCTGAACAACGGTGCTAGATTTCGAAAGAGAAGCACCACACACAGAATCATCCAAGGCACATCGAGCAAGCTTGCCACCTTGGGCTCACTTAGGGTATGACCTAAGAGGGAAATAGATGCCCGAGTCCCGGCTTTGCAAACCCTAAGGCCAACACTACGCTCAAACCCGAACCACAAGATCTCAACATCGCCACAACCACGACACCGGCCTGCTTCTTCTACTACGGCTGACTACAGCTACCGCTAGCACTCTTACTTGCACTACTGCTACCAGGACGGCTTCAATTCTTCTGCTACAACCGCATAACTACTGCGACCCTGCCAACTACTACAACTACTGCCAAAGCTCCCACTGCTACTGCAGCTCCAATACCGACCACAGCGCTGTCTGCCACCACAGCAACTTACAAGGACTACAACGACCATACATCCTTCCGATGAACATGATATATCATAATATGATATAATATAATATACCATATCGTAATACATTGTATACATACACATATATATATATATATATATACTATATACATGTGTATATATATATATATATATATGTACGCCATCATCGAGACTTATCGTGGTCGGCCTGCAGCTGCCGGCTCAACATGTGGATGGTTGTCAAAATTAAGGTCCCCTTTTTGGGGCACCCTAAATGGGAGTTTCCGAAAATAGGGGGACCTTATTTCGAAGTCCTTACAGTAAGGATCCTACTATTTAGGGTACTAGATTAGGGTCCCCTATGTTTGGAAACTCCCAAATATTAGGTGTCGTACTATATTAAGGACCCAAAAAGGGACCCTAATGTTGACAACCACACATGTATGAGTGGCGCAGGACGGTCAGGCAAAGTTGGAGCCGAGGCCATATACACACATTAACGGCGTAACGGCTGCAATAGAAAAGCAGCAACCACGGAGTCACCTGAAAGCCATCTTTTCAACCCTAAGCCCTATCATACTCCACAAACTTGCAACCCTTAGCCCTGAATTGCAAACCCTAAATGCAGCCAAAACTGTAGACCCTTTTGCAACTGGCCTGCAGCGACGACGCCAAGTTCTGTAGACCCCTAAAACCCTAAATCCCCAAACACAAAACCCCTTCCCTAAGGCTCTGAGGACTCATATTTTAAGGCTTTCGGGCCTAAAGACCATATCATATAAGGCTTTTGGGCCATTATGAGCCTTATAGGGCTTTGCATCGTGCATGTCATCGCGCCTGCGGGCCCACGATCTCCTCGGAGACCTCAACGTCGCGCAGGCGCCTTTGGCGCTGCGACACTTCTGCAAAGGATCCTACGGTTGATGATATAAATCCTGCATTACCCATAATAAGGAATATACCATAATTCCCATAGTTTAGGGTCCTGAGGTAATGCGGGATTTATATCATCAACAGTATGTACCTGTATGGTCGAATGTGGGGTTTCTATATTAGGAACTACTATGATCCAGGGAAGTACCCCCGCAGAACAGTACATAGGACCCTTTGGGTTCTGCATGTGTACACAATAGGTTTCACGGTTTACGGTTTAGAGGGCTTGCGGACGTACAGGGTGCCGTTTTAGGTTCCGGGTTGTGCGTTTAGGGTTCAGGGTTTTGGATGTCTTTCTCAAGGTTTAGGGTTTGGCACTGGGCAAGTTCTAGCAACTCGATCTGGGTGTTCGATACTGCACAGGCGGTTGAACTTTTCTTGAAAGTCCGACGCCCGAATTTGGGTGCCTTAATAATCAGAATAAGGTTTTGGGGCCCATTATACTGTAATGATAGCAATTTGGAACCCCCAGAATTGCGTGGAGGATATGATTTTGCAAAGAGCCCAATGAAGCAGACGCATCCTGAAAGCATGGGAACCTGAACATGGATGCGAGTTCATATATCCCACCACCTCGACTTCGACGCGAACTTGCACGCACAAAAAGAGGTGCCAGAAAGCCGGCAGCATCGTTCCGACAGCTACAGCGCCTAAGCCCTAAAGTCTCAAACCCAAACCCCGTAAGCCCTAGACCCTAAATCCTAAACCCTAATCCCTCCTTTCCCTTAAACTCAGTGCTCCCGGGAGTCTGCTGCCAGGACGGCCTTCCGTCGCCTTCCTCGCGGGTTTTCGCGATCGGTGAGTCAGTGACTCACGGCTTCCAGTCTTGCCACTGTAAGGATGCTTCAGGGTTGAAGAGCCCCGGGGCTGGAGTCCGAATCTGTAGGATTTAGAGAATACCGTCCCCACAAATGGTGCCTCGAACGAAACTGCAGGATTACAAAGTTCAACCACGGTGGATGCTTCGTCTGTGTCTGTGTGTGTGTGTGTGTGCATGCATGCGTGTGTGTATTTCTCCTGAATCAAAATGCACAGTGTCGGAAACCCAGACACTGTATCAGGGGTACGGCTCACCCAACCTCTTTCATCGGAGATCCTACACTTACACCCGCGAAGAAAAGGCCCGACGTCCTGGCAGAAGGGCAGAGGTGTGCGCGGATGGGCCAGAAACAGCAGCTTTAGCACGACGAAGCCGATGGCGATTGCATCCTTTCGGTCAAACAAAGCTGGCGGCGAAGCCTATTGAATCTGAACACGAAAGCCGATCAAGCATCACTTTACAAAATCCGCTTAGAGATCACCTTGCTGCAGTTCTGCATCTTAGCTTTCACGCACAGCTCCTGTATTGAACGCCAGGGCCCGAAAGCTCCCCCCTACGTGTAAGCCAAATGAAACCCTAAACTCGCAGCTCTCATACTCTCAAGGTCCATGCCCACAAAATTCGTAAAATTCAGCTTCAAAAACTCAACAAGAACAGAATTCCGAAACATTAAGAACTGCTCAACACCGAACGGATTGACAAAGAGCTCAAAGGATCTAGCCCAGGGGCCCGAAACTCGTTTTCTGCCGGGAAGTCGCGAGACGAGAACATCTTCTGACTGGTATCTGGCCTGGGCCATGCAACTGCAACAGTCACAACCCCCCAACTAATTCACACACGCTCCTCCGCTTTCAAGCACCTTAACTAAACTCGGCAACTTAATAAGACACCTCTTTTCCTCCTCTTTGGGAACTCACCCATGGAAGCTACATGGGGGAGATCAAGCAACCCATTGGCTGGTTTTGCAAGGTGCGGAATGCCCTCCCGCAGCCCTAGTGCCCTGCTCGCAGCTTAGTTCTTTCGACTCTGGATCCCTTCCTCAAACTCGTAAACCCTACTTCAAGGCTCATGGGACTTAGTAAGTAAGGTTTTTAAGTGGGGTAACCCCACTTGGGGGACTTATAACCCCCAATTATAACCTACTTACTAAGTTCCATGATCCTTTCAGTAGACGCCCTAAGCCCTAAATGCCCGAAGCCTCATACCCTTGCTTTGCATCCAGACCTGTTCCAACTGCCGCAAAACCCTACACTTACACCCCAAACCCTGAACTCTGAAAGCTCTACGACCGTTGAACAATTACCAGTGGCTTCCCCTTACAGTCTCTATAACATGCTTATCACTACCTTCTACAAAATGCCCCAAGACCCGAGTCTGCTATTATCACGACCTCTATATTATGTTATATTATGTTATATAATATATTCTACGTTAGCTGATGCTATATTCTAACATATTATAATCTATTACATTATATTGTATCACATATCATGATACACCATATATGATGGTAGGTTGCGTTATGATTAGTATATCGCACAATACGTAATAGCATGCTTCTCTCCAGGGTGCTCCTCGCTGAGCAGGGCTCGATTCAGTGCCGCCACTCGCGGGATTTTTCTGGCCAAGAGCCCTGCGCTCGGATTAACATGTTCGTGTTTAGGGTCGGGTTATAGTGTGCATGTTGAGGAGCTTGCAGTTCTATGATCATTCTGCAGCATTCTATATGGGAGGTTGGGTGGGCTTGATGGGGAACCAAAAACTAAAATGTCACTGATGACTCCGGCTCCTTTATCAACCGTAAATCCTTTACCGTTGCATGAGGGGGATGCAGAGGGCTAGCAGAACCCTAAAAGCCTAAACCCTAAAAAGCCCTAAAACCCCAAGCCCTAACGGACTTAGTTGTGATTGTTTCTTCTCGTAATTTGCTTAATGGCTCAACATGGTCAGGTCTTGCTCTCTAAAACCCTGAACCCTAACCACCTTCCATTTCCGCCTGCAGCAGCAAGCCACTGAGTCGATACAAGTCGAGGCTAGGCCAAGAAATCCCCAAACCCCAAGGCCCCCAAACAGTTTTTGCTTTTTGAACCCTCGTGTCTTTTAACCAAAGGCATCCAGACAGTTTGGGTTTGGGGTTTAGGGAGGGGTCAGGACTTCGGGGTATTTAGGGTTTAAGGACTTTACGCTCTCGCAACTCGGACGCATCCAGAAAGGGCTTCAGGGTTTGAGGTTTAGTTTTCCCCAACCTACACCCGTAAAACCCCCTCTGATCTCTGAACGACCTGCTTGGCGGATCGTGGGACTTAAAGAGTAATGCCATACCTGCTATACGTATTGGGGGATAAATCATACTAAGCATAGTCACCATTTCTATACCGCCATTTACTAAGCCTCATAATCCTGCAACGCCTAAACCCTTTTGGAATCCCTTTGCGAAACCCTTCCTGTTACGAAGTCTCCTGTTCCTTTAAGTAGGCCAAGTGTCCGAAGAACTTCCGGGCCCAGGCTAGGCCCCGAATATCGTCCCTTCGAAGCGCAAAGGTATGCCTTAGATCAAAGGGCCTGGGGTTTCGGGGCTTCAGTTTCTGTTTTGGGCTTAGGGCTTAGAGATCAAGCTCCAGGACGGTGTTGTAGGTTCTAAGGGATTGGCTGCCATGTGGCTCTCAGCTTCGATGCATCATTCAGGGTCGTACGTATGTGGAAGCGAGTTGGACTCCAGACCACATTGAGTTCGTCAAAGCCGAGTTCCCCTCAAAACATGTGTCGCACCACTCATACTGGACGGAGACCGTGCCGAAACCGCATCAGACAAGACTTTTGTAAGACATAACTTCTTTTTGCTTGGACAGGCGGTGGGGGGCCCACTCGGAATCTGGACCCCCCAATTCACGACAGCCAAGATGCTGAAGTACCTATGTTCACTTTTCCAACGTGGTACTTGTGTACAGTCATCGAAACCCGATCAGGCACCTCACGTGCAATACGAGACAAAAACCTTATAGAAACCCACCCATGCCCAACCACGTTATGGACCCTACTTGGAGGCTCATGGGACTTAGCAAGTCAGGTTGTAAGTATAGTTACCTGATCTATAACCCCAGTTACTAAGTTGATCCTTTAAGTAGCTAATACTGCCAAGGGTACATCAAGTTCAAGCAGAGGGAACCATGGTCGGGAGCTAGCACGAGAGCTTTCCGGTAAAGGCGGCTCGCCTGCCGAACTTCTGCGTGGTCAAGGGTTGAGGGGTTTAGGGTTTAGGGGTTTAGGGTTTAGGGGTTTAGGGTTTAGGGGTTTAGGGTTTAGGGGTTTAGGGTTTACGGGTTTAGGGTTTAGGGGTTTAGGGGTTTAGGGTTTAGGGTTTACGGTTTAGGGTTAAGGGTTTAGGGTTTACGGGTTTAGGGTGTTTTAGGGCGTGTTCTCGCTCTTGTCAAGGGTCAGCAGTTAACATGGAAGTACTCACGCCAAGCACTTTAAACAGCCCAGACGGTCGATCTTAACTGGTACTGGAACTAGCATCTAAACACAGAGCAACGGCGCGTACATGTTTGCACATTGACATTGAGAACACAAACATCTATGTTTGCATAGCAAGGCGAATGAATATATACGTATGAGTATATATACGTATATACGTATATGTATATATATATATATGCTTATATATATATAAATATATGTATGTATATATATATATATATATATATACATACATATATATATATATATATATGTATATGTATATATATATATATATATATATATATGTATATATATATATATATATACTTATATATATATATATATATATAATATCTATATATATACACACGCATATATGTCTGCTATGTCTGTAAGCAAGCATGTATGTGTGTGTGTAAACTGTAAACGTATACACACATATACATATATTGTATAATGACACATGTATACGTGCATACATGTGTACCTGTAATTAAACATAAAAACGTATATACATATATACAGGTATACATGAATAGAAACAATTGTCCACAGAAACCTGCTTATATACCTACCTACATACAGACATACATACACAGACGCATACGTACATGCAGACATACATACATATACATACATACACACACATGAATACAACCGTCCGTCCGTTCGTCCATCTGGCATGCACGCATGTACACACACACACATACATACACACACCTACATATATATATATATATATATATACACACACATACACATATGCGCACTATACTGTACTGGAATACAGAACATGTGACATGCACGATGCCGTTTCGTTGACCTGCCCAGACAGTGCCATGCCCGTGAGAGCACGGACACACGGTTCTTGCTCAGACACAAGCATGGCAGCTTAGACCATACATCAATATCAGGCCCGAAATCTCGGTCGACTTAATGCCTCGAGGACCATACCACGCTCTTTCATGATGAGCCCAACCTGACTGCAAGCTTTCAGGGGCTAGCAGCCCTCAACGAAAAAATATCGATTTCTGGCTTTTGGGCTGTTCATGGTTTCGGACATTGCCTCGATGAGCATGAACTTCGATTAAGGTCTCAAAAGCGATTCGTCTCTTCAAGATATTCCTGACAAGAAACACCGTCAGTCAGGATACTTTTCCAAACTGATCGGAAAACTTCAAGCCCGAAACGGTCGGAGCTCCCTACGTTCAGGGTAACCGGAGCTTGATCAAGTTTTTGTAGAATTATTAATATCTTTTACTGCAGCATTCTTGGGGGCAACTTCGTTGAGGTCATGAGCAGTTAGGCTTTAGATCTTAAGGCTTCAGTCAAGACATGTTAAGACTGAACCGAGCGATGTCCCTGCCCTAAACCCGACTTAGGGTCGGCGGGCGTAGTCTCGAACAGGTCAAGTTAGAGCGTCGACTCTAGGGGTGCAGCGTGACTGAAGATCTACTTAAGTAGGCCATAAGACCCGAAACCTAAACTTTGCCGCGACACGCCTCAACAACTATGACAAGGGTTTTCGCTGCAGGCTCAGATCAGAACCAAGGAGTTTTAGAAACTACGGGACCTCGAAGGGGATCCCCCAAGCTCAAGAAAGCATTGTGAAGATCTAAAACCCTGAGAAAACGTATCGACATCACAAAACCCTTGTGACAAAACACCTATCAACATCCCCCGGTGCCAGGGAGTTATGACGAAAGCCAGGTCCCTGGCATAGCCGACGACCTCTGCGACGGATTTAACGTGCGTCTCGTTGACCATGGCCTTTGAAGTTCGCTTGAGGCGGTGAAACGCTCTAGGTTAAGTTTGGTTTAGGGTTTATGGTTCAGGGTTTAGCGTTAAGGTTAGGTTTTGTAGTAGGGCTCTCATGTTCGAAGTATAGGGTTTTTCCGCGTGGGATTTAGGTTTTTGGTTCGGAGTCCTCACGGATTCCTCGGAGCCTTGTGGACGGGGTTTACTGGGCTCAATTGTTTAGTTTGAAAGCGCTTGGGGCTTCTGGTTAAGAAATGTTAAACAGCGTTTAGGGTTCAGAGTGATGTCAAGGGTAAACAGCCGGGATTGAACGAGCATGAACGAGCTGAAGCACGAGCCACACGGGTAAGGAATTAATCTGACAAGTCCGGCGGCATAAACCCTGTAATCACAGGTAAAGTTGAGGCTTGCATTCTTGAGGCCTCTTTAGATTGTCAGGGATTGAGGCCCCAAACACCATGGCAAAAAGAGTGCTCCAGCTACGTTGGGGCTGGAGGCCGCAAGATCCTCGACCATTATGCACTCGAAGTCGCAGTGTCAAATCTGAAGTATGCACATCCGAATACCCCAAACTCTTGAAATCAGCTCGAACTCTCTAGCTTCCGGGTATATCGCCAAGAGTTCCTTACAAGACCAGTATACTGCCCGGTGTAAACCTTACAGAACCCTTGTATAACAGTATGTCTTGCTTAAAGATCATGCTGAACCTGCTACATAGGGTTTATAACCCGCAACCCTGAGGGCTGTACCCAAACCCTGAACCCTATACCTGAAACCCTAAACCCCGTTCCCAACAAGCACGCCAAGCTCTCTGGGGCTGACACAGGATTCGGCGTCATCACACTGCAAAGCTCCTCAGGGACGCCAGCTGCGAAGAACTCTTGGGCGTTGGGGTTTCAGAGTTTTGGATTTAAGGCCGTTTCGGGTTTAAGGTTTAGGGTTTGGTGTGGCTGGTGGGGTTTAGGGCGTTTAATCTCGGGTTGCGAGACTTTGGCGTAGGCGGGGGCAGGGTTTACAGACAAGGGCTTCGGCTCTGGTTGCGAATTCCCTCAGTGTCGGGCCCCGGGGAGAAGTAGAACGAGTCAGCCTGCCCCAAACCCAACGCACTAAACTAGATCCCAAACCCTAAAATTAATCCCCGAACCGCAACCCCTCATCAATGCACTCCGAAGCCTTAGAAGCCAGCAAACTCTCACCGAGAAAACCTCGAAACGACCTTGCAGGGGTTCAGGAAGGGCAGGACATGGGAGCTTCGGAAAATATGGGACCCGCAACATGGACGCTGAATGGTGGGATCACCAGTGCAGGGACCCAGAACACCATATGGGTGGCTGTCAAAAATTATGGCCGATTTTGGGGTACCCTAAATAATAGGTGCCATACTAGGGAACCAAAAAGGGGCCATAATTTTGATAACCATCCATATCTTCATGATTGCGAACTTTGAGGAGAACAGCGACCCAGCACACCGGCATAACGCATCACGGCGGTGCCTCCACGTTGCAGTGTCGCATCACTCCGCAAACAAGCCTCAGCTCCATGCATGCCTGTGAAATCCCAAGAGGGCCTGTGATGGGCTCCATATGGGAGTTCCCGAGTTTCCGAAAATTTGGGGTACCTTACTTGGGGGGGTCCTTATAATAAGGGTCCTACTGTTGAGGGTGCTATATTTGGCTCCCTAATTTTCGGAAACTCCCATATCGTTTGGAACAGCACGTGTCTTGCAGCAGCTTTCGGGTTCGAATTTCTCTCGGAATGGAGGATCAGGGTTCCCGGGATTTGCCCTGAGAGGCTTGTTTGGGAAAGCATCTGCTCCTTTTCTCTTGCTGTTTTGCCCGGTCTTAGCCCTTTCCCTGGAACCTGGCTGCTACATTCGTGATTTCAGGCCCTACCCATGCAGCCCGCCCTGATCCTAAATCCTCTGCAAGGCATGAACGAACAGTCTCACACAACTCAACCGAACTCCTCAATCCGAAGCCGCGAACCCTGACCTGAGAGCACTACCCATAGGCCCCAAACTAGTTCCTTTCTGGGGCTCATACAAAGAATCCTATAATAAGGTAGTCCCGAAAAGGAACTACTTTGGGGCCTATGGGTATAAACCCAACCCATATCCAATTTGGAAGACGCAGAGGGCCCTGCCTAAAAACGCAAACCTATATCCAAAGAGGAACTACTTGGAGGGCAGGGGACTTAGTAAGTGGGTTATATAAGTAAGGTTACAACTGGGGTAACTCCATTTAGGGTACTTATAACTCTACTTACAACCTACTTACTAAGTCCCCTGCCTCTCCAAGTAACTATGTACACCATGACGCCAGGGGCACAAAAGCACAGCAGTTTCAGACACCAGCGGGACCCGAGCATAATGGGGGGGCGGGGCCCTCGGGCTTCTGGGGTACTTACATAGCCACTACATTGGGGTACGACTACCACAGATTACTTCGGACTTCTGAGCTAGACCGTTTTCTTAAAACACCCACATTATGGCATTGACCTTGAACGCAAGCAGAACTTGCAGGTCTCAGCTTCACGATGAATGCGCGAAGTTTTTGCGAACCAGCAGTCCCATATTAACGGCTCTTACACTGAGGACAATAAGTATACCTCTAGTGGGGTCTCTTCTCCTCTCTCTCTCTCTCTCTCTCTCTCTCTCTCTCGTCACTCTCTCCCTCTCTGTGGTCGGAGACTATATGCATACACATGTTTGTCTATACACACATACACACTCGCATACGCGAGTGTGTATGCACATTAACATACCTGTTTGGGTGCGCGCGCACACACACACACAATCTTTGCAATTTGCATGAGACCTGAGCTACAGTGACCCTCGGATCTCAGTTCAATTTGTCTAATTAGTCGCTCATGACAACATGTGAGTGACTGAAACTGGAGGTCTGTAGGGGGGTAAAACAATCTGCTCGTTTTCGGGTGGTTTGGGTCCGGGTTGCATGCTTTTGCTTGCTCGGTTTATTGTCAGATGTCGTCGGCCTGATGCGCCAGGCAGCTGACTGCACGTCAGGCTTGGCGTGTGCCGATGTGCCACCTGGACAATGCAATAGAACAGGACCCTTAAAGATTGAACAATACAATATAGTGGACTCAATTATGCTATTTTATCATACAATATGGTAACATACACCACTTGTCTACTGGCTTTCAAATTTCACGTGGTGAGGGATAGCACCGAAGAGAACTCGACAGTGAAAAGCTTTTGAACACCTTGGGATGAAGCGCGTGGCAATGAAACTTCTGCCTGCGCATGCTTGTTTGTGTAGTAGGCCGGGGACAACCGCTGCGACTGGGAAACGCGCATGCTGCCGCATGCAAGAAAGAGAACCAATTGTCTAGACATTTCGATTGCGACTCATGCAAGACTTGGCACAGACAGCTCGGGACAACGTCGTGGCTCAAATACGGGAACCTTCCATTCATTCTGACCTCGTATGGCCCCTGCGCTCCTGGCACTTCAAATTGCCGAAAACTCCAAGCTAAAATAAACAGCAGCTCAGGCACCAAGCAGCGGACCATGACGGCCAGCGCTACGTGGGTTTCTCCACGCTCCTTGGGATAAATAATTTGCAACCGGACAAACCGAGAAAAGCTTCGAGAAAGCGAGTGGGACAACCACAAAAATGATTTTAGGGTTTAAGATGTTTAGAGCTCAAGCTGTACGGTGTACAGGGATTTAAATATCGCTTCCAATACTGTTGCCTCAGGACTCATCACACAGCCTGTATACAGCTTAACGAGTTACGTAGTTTGAGCTTACAGTGTTTAGTAGGGCTCTGAAGGACATTGGAGCATTTAGGACGTAGCAGACACAACAGGATGAGCAGCACTCTTACCACGGGGTCAGAACTATTGCCCCCAGCCCAAAGGCCTAGACTCGACCGAGACAGGGCTTACCCCAGGAGCCTAAGGTGAAGGGTTAGGCGGTTAAGCTTCAAACTGCCAATGAAACTTCGCTACAAACACCCCCAACTACACCTACCCTGCATTGCTGCGATAAGGCTGCTCTCAGCAACCCTGCTGCCACTATGGTGGCTTGCACCACGAAACAATGCCGACACCATGACCTGACCTACAACTGCAAGACACAGAGTCACCTAAACCCTACCTTAACCCGGAACGACCTACCTTTTTAAGAACTTATATAAAGAAATCATAATAAGGAACCCTAAAAAGGTAGGTTCTTCAGGGTTAAGGTAAACCCTAAACACCAGAGACTGACCTCCTTTCGCCAAAGCGGCCATCAGGACTTTGGTCGCCACTTCGCAGGCTTCCAATTGCGTGGAGTTTGTCTCCTCAGCTACTTAAAGGATCATGGGACTTAGTAAGTAGGGTTTAGGGTTCAGGGTTTAGGGTTTAGGGTATACTTGGGGTTAGAAGTCCCCTAAGTGGGGTTATCCTAATTATAACCTACTTCTCACCTGACTTACTAAGTCCCATGAGCCTTTAATTATTCAGAGAGCCAAGAACATGATCTCGGGTTTGCCTGTGGTGTAGGAACCTGATTAAGAAACCCTCAGCCTGTAAACCCCAAACAGTAGGGTTCATATAAGGAACCCTAATAGAGGCCCAAGATTTCTTAATCGGGTTCCTACATCATAAAATATAACTTTACAACCTGATGGTTGTAGGTTTCGCCCAAGTGTCCATGACCTTGTCGGCCAACTCCGTAGCCGGCCTCCTTTGGCCAGTGTAGAACCTACGGCCAGGAGTGGATCTCTTTGTCTGGGTAAGGATTTATCAGGGTTGTGTACTGTGACATCTTTTATGTATGTAAAGATTCAGACACTTCCACTGCCACAAGCAACCCAGGAAACCGTTCTTCCTAGACTCTCAGCCCTTGCACCACAAGAGCCCTCGCAGAGGCGTATTATAGTTGCAAAAGACTTCCTCGATAAACGATAAACTAGACTACGTTCATATGATAAGGAAGCCTAACGAATACTATCAGAATCATTACAAGGCCCCCCCTAAACCCTAAATCCTAAAGGCGTGCCTTTACTTCACTTAATCCCGCGGGCACCTTGAGCGCGCCAGGCGCCCCAAGACATCGGAGGCTTCCGGCTGGGGTCCCCAGCCATCCTCTCAGGGTTTAGGGTTCAGGACTGCCGGTTTAGGCTCTCACCACTCGGACAAGGACTGCCGGTTGAAGAGTTCGGGTGTAGGGTTTCTGCCGGCAGTCTTCATTGTGGTTCCTGTGTTTGGTTTAAGCAAGTGTTGACCCTAACTATAAGGTAACCCTAAAAGAAACTGCAACGGAGACTATAGGTGCAGCTGGACCCTGGAAAACCTAACACCATTTTTTGACAGCCTATGGTTAAGATCCTATGATAAGAAAATCACAACAAAAGGTGCTGCATCATAGGTTCTCGGTAAGGGCTTCGTGTTGAGCACGTGGTTTGGCTTTAGGGTATGGGATGGTTGCCGAAAATCAGCATGCTCATGCTTTTACAATTTTAGCACTCGAGTACGTCGGGATATACCAAGAACTGCTACTACAACAACAACTACTACCACTACTACTAAAACTACAACCACAACTACTCTGCTAATACTACTACTACTACTACTACTACTACTACTACTACTACTACTACTACTACTACTACTACTACTACTACTACTACTACTACTACTACCGTTGCTGCTTTTGCTGCTACTACTTCTACTTCTACTACTACATCTACTACTGCAACATCGGCTACTACAACAGCAACAACAAGAAGAACAACAACTACTACAATTGCTACTATTACAACAACTACTACTACAACTACTACTGCAACTACAACAACAACAACTACTACTACTACTACTACTACTACTACTACTACTACTACTGCCACTACGACGGCGGCGACTACTACTACTGCTTCTACTACTACAACTACAGATACTTCTACAACTACTACTCCTGTTGCTACTAAAACTAAAACTACTACTACGACTACGACTACGACTACGACTACGACTACGACTACGACTACGACTACGACTACCACTACGACGACGACTTCGAATCACTACTGCTACGGGTGCGAGTACGAACACGCGTACGAGTACGAGTACTAGTACTTGTAGTAGTCGTCGTCATAGTCGTGGTCGCCGTCATGGGAGTATGTAGGGGTAACGTTATTCTCTTTATGATGATCAGAAGACTTCGTGGCAGTAGTGGAAGTGTTGGCGGTAGCAGTAGCGTTGACCACGGAGCCGGACAGACATGCGCGTAGTTGTGACGACCATAGCAACTCCGGAAACGTGTGGCCTCCTGGCTGAGCGCCTCCGGCGTGCGCATCATGGGCGCCAGGAGCTCCAGGTCTTCATTCCTAGGGTTTAGGGTTTTAGGGTTTCGACGCTCACACTCGCACACGGCAAGCAAGGCTCCGCATAGACCATATAGTATCTCAACTAACATCGACAGCGTGTTTTAGGGTTTAGGGTTTTTCATATCTGAGCTTTAGTGGAGCAAAGTTCAATGACTCACCTTCGATTCGGGAATCACGGCTATGACTCAAGTGCTATCAGGCTTAGGGCTGGAAACTTTCGTTGTCCCACATCGATGAGTCATACCAATGACAGGACATATGTATATTAGTATATACCATAAAATGCAGTATAGTAAGAAGTAGCGAAAATTTAAAATAGCTAGTACCCTGACAGTCTTCCATCGCTTAAAAAATTGAGCCGGGGCACGCAGCTTCCCAGTCGCCGCTGCGTTCTGCAGCTGCTGCACGGAGCGACAGAGCCTTGTCAAGCATGGGGTTTCAGGGGTAGCATATCCATCAGAATTTTCAAGAAATGAATACTGCAACGCCCAAGAAACTAATTTTCCTCCGTCTTCCTACTACAACCATCATCTACCTAAAACCCCACAACCAACAAACATCACGACATTGCTATAGGGGCCTCAATAATTAGAATAGGGTTTTGGAGTCCAGTATACCATAATCGTAAGAAGGAACCCCCAATTAGAACCCCAACATAGAACCCTTATAAACCCCTTTAAGGATGCCTTTAAAGGAGCCCTAGGTATATAACTATTATTAAATCCTCGACATCAAGCATTACGGGACCCCAAAAGCACATAAACATAAGCATTCTATGGGGATATCCCTACCTTATTGGGCTTCATTATAAGGGGGTTTATATGGGATATCCCTGTCCTTCTTTTTGCTTATGTGCTGTTTTGGTGCCCTAAAAACCCTGAAGTCTATACATACTAGAACCATAAACCCTAATCTCCTAAACCCTAAACCCCTAAGAAGCTTCGGGTGAGTATCATGGTCGTGCCATTTTTGGGAAACCCTAAACCCTAAACATCGAGGGCTCAGAAATGCTCAGAAGCTCCTCACGTCTGGCCTCAGCTCTTCCGGCGCATCGCGGCGCGAGGACCGATGGATGCATCTGCAGGGTTTAGGGTTCAGGGTTTTGGGTTTAGGGGTTTAGGGTTTTGGGTTCAGGGTTTTGGGTTTAGGGCTTTGGGGTTTAGGGTTAGGGGTTCAAGGTTTAGGGTTGAGGGCTTAGGGGTTTGGGTTTAGGGCTTTGGGTTTAGGGTTTGATTTAAGGTCTATTCTGTAATTTAGGGATATTGGAGTCTCTCAGATTCGGGGGCTCGGATGGCATTGGTCCATGCATGAACGGGGCTTGGGGCATCGGGGATGCTGGCGAAGAGAGGACTCGACATCTGAGTCCGGAGGAAGCTGTTTGACCGAATGCTTGTTACGTACCCATACAGACTCAACATGCGAGCGCCGTCCACCAGATTGCTGCGTTCTCCTCCCCTAGGATCGGAAGGCCTTGCAAAACAAAGTTTGCACGGCGGTGTATTCGGACTTGGCCAGTTCCTTTGTGCAGGGACAGGATCACGTTCTGTTCCGACACGTATTTTCCAGGAGCTCGCTACCCTGCCTCCCAGATTCATTGCAGCAGACATGACAACTCCCCTCGGCAACTGAAGTGTGTGGTCAGCATCGGCATGGGAGACACTAGATCCGCCTTCGCTCAGCATGTTGTGCATGAGACCGACATCATGATTTGAAGTGGTATGTTCTATGACGTGTAAAACACAGGGGGCAATAGCTTATTCTTTGCATCTCTTCAAAGGGAAAGCACTTTGTTTTGGAGATTAATTAAGTTAAGACATTCTGCTGGGTTGACCGCGCCAGCATCTGAAAGTGCATCTGCGCATGGATGTTCCCATATCTATAGCATCTTCCGCCCATAAAACTCGCTATTTATGTACCAATGGATGTGCATGCGCGTGTATGTGGGTGTTTCCGTATGAGTATATGCCATATGCACATGTACGGGGGCTGCACGATTGCAGAATTCCTTAACAATTTTGACCATGAGGACTCCTTCACAGCGTTGCGACCCTTAACCCCTATTGCTGTACTGATCCCGCCTAAATCAAGTCTGGAGCTCTCAACACATGGTGGAGTCGCTGCTTTGCGCCCTCGGGACATGTAAAGCACACGGAACACTCCTCGCCTGCAAACCGCAACAACAGGGCACCAAACTACCCAAACAACCCGCAGTGGATTTCGGATTCGGGTCGGGCTCGCAATGTGAACCCTGAAAAATTCCCGTAGCTTCGCCATCCGAGCATCCATCCGTGCCAGACAGAGGACCGCCTGCGGGAAGTGAGGAGCTTCTTGCAAAGCCTCAGGGAGCACCGGCGCATGGGCAAGCTCGTCTTGAAGAAAATAATGACATGAACTTGAGCTCGCTTTCTGAGAAATCTAGTTGCGTCAAAGGCTTTGCAAAGGCTGGCCTGTATTCCCATCAGAATGAACTTTTTCTTCAGGATCGGGCAGGCGATTGACTCCATCAGCAACCATGAATCATGCTGCCAACAGCCCTTGCCAATCATAGCATTCCCACTTGGGAAGTCGTCATCTACGATACTGCTCTCCGACGGCTACGACTTTGTATAATTTCATCATGTTGACTTAACAAGTGCCAAATGACCGGCTGAGCCTTACGGAGTGCCATGATCGAACCACCTCGAACTTTGACCCTAAACTCTAAAGTCCTAAAGCTAAAACTCCGAATGCCTCATTGCAGAAGTTGCGGGCTGCGGGGAAAATCTCCTCCTTTTCGGCCTGCCAGTAGTTCGCCCTACCCTTGTACAGAGCGTTCTATAAATAGGGTTCGCTTAGATAGCTCCTATGATGGTTCCTATGTGTAATTATGAGGGCTCAGTGTATGGGCCCATGACCGGGGCCGTGTTCGGGATTCAGTACTAAGTATTTAGACCTCTATGCTACAAACAAACCACACACCCGCCTGTCAACCAAAGCACACACAGACAGACACACACGCAAACACAAAGCACGATCAAGCACAGAAGCCCTAATATAGTAACTAGTATGTGTGCCATAAAGTATGTGTGTGCGTATGTACCCACATATAAGATCAGTTTATTGCTGGCTTGTTTGCTTGCTTATTTGGGTGCTTTGTTGCTAGCGTCGGTTGGCTGGATAGTTTATCACTTTGTTTGGCTCGTCATTATTTACAAGCGTGGGGCGCCATAAGCAAACTACATCACGAAAATACAGACACAGAATAATCACTGAGCATGTACGTGATGTTTGGTCTCGGCATGAATGCATGCATACGTTCATGCACACACACACACACACATCCCGCCATCCATCCCTCCCTCCATCCATGCATCCATACATCCGTGCATGCATGAACTACACACATTGCATACATACGCATGCATTGCAAGCTCTACATCTGAGACATAATTACAACATAGTTTTTTGGTTACTGCATAAGCCCGTAAACTTCAACATGTCAGCTACATCGAGGAATAAGTGTACCGTGTACTAAGTCATCTACTAAGACAAAAATGCCTACGCGCACACACACACACACACACACACAGCCACCGTGTTTTCTCGAAAAAGAAACACAGGCGAAACAACAAACAAGCAGGGCTCTACAAACGACTGCAAGGCGACCAGCTGTCAGGATTGCTTCGTGGCCTCCAAGGCCTTTTTGACAGCCTCAATGGCCGCACCTGGGACTCTCACAAAGAAGCTCGGCTGAGGATGCAATGGGCAACGGCGCTGAAGGCTCAGGGACTGCAAAGGGTGGGTGTGTGTGTGTGTGTGTGCGGATAAGGTCCATTGCCCGAGGAGTTGAGGCAAATGTAGCGGAGCCCCTCAGTGGGTTCAGGTCCTCGTTCGTGGATTATGGACGGCGCCCTTCTGCACTTACCCGGGACGGTCTCAGAGCGTGACGCATCTATCTATGCGAGTGTCTACATCATGACCCCTTTCCGAACCCCTGTCTCTCAGAAGGTCTTGTATCTCTTGCTGTAAGAGCCCCTTGCGATCATCTAACAAAGCATTTAAAAAGGCAATGTCTGCAGTGGAAGCGAGGTCAAGTGCTTTGCGGTTTCAGTTGTAGGGTCGTGAGACTTCGTCGCACATGATGCGATCTTGGAAACCGGAGAAAGCTTGTGGGGTGCAGGAATCTTCCCGTTGGCAGCTTGAACTCGACACCCTGGCAAGAATGTTGGAAAAAAACAATCATTGTCTGCCACTCTGCATAACCCAGACCCCGGGAGGATCTAGAAAGTCGATGCCTTAATTTGGGGCCCTATACTACTAAGGATACTTTATAGGAACCCCATTAAGGGATCTACTTTTTGGATCCTCCAAAGGGGGTCTGGGAAGAGACCTAGGGTCGCAGGCTTGAGATGATCTTTCAAGAATGAAAAAGAGCCCAGGTCGAGACAACGAGACATGCATCTATTTAAAGGACCATGGGACTTAGTAACTGTGGATATAAACAAGGTAACTATACTCTCTCTCTCTCTCTCTCTCTCTCTCTCTCTCTCTCTCTCTCGCGGACTCAGAGGTCTGTCAGCCACGCACGCTAACTATACTTATAAGTCCTTATAACCCCCCCCCATTATGAGGTACTTATAAACTTACTGACTAAGTCCCACGATCCTCAAGTAAGCCCTGTTACTGAAACCCGCAACTCCCCAGACTCTATAGCAGCCTCAGCCCTGGAACCTCTCGGCCGCCAAGAAATTCTAAAACTGAAACTCTCAAGCCCCCCAAAAAAACATTGTTGGGATAGGATTAAAAATGTAGTTTCTTTATTCCTTATTGGGTTTAAGTATTGCAAAATGTTACCCAACCATGACGAAGCTAAAGCTACAAGACCACACCGATCTGGAAGCCCTAACCCCCAATTAGGGCCCGAAACCCCGAAACAACACATGCTCAAGTGCTACAGAGTAGGTAGACGTACATAGACGTACACAGGCTTATCGATCGATCCATCTATCCAACCCTCGACCCTCAGGGCTCTTATGTCCCTAAGTGCGTCGAAGACACTCTCGGCCTGCAGGAGGCACAAATGTTTCAATCTTTAAGGTTTACCTGGACCCTGCAAGGCTTACCTTTCGTCCTTTGAACGTAGGTTTTTGAGGGTTAAGGTGGCATTTAGATCTTAGTTTTTTGTGTCGCCGGGGCGAAATAAAGGTATAAGGTTCCCAAGCCAGCACTACAAGCATCATGTACCGCCTGGAACCTGCACAACCTACCCTTCTTTTCGTAAATGACCCCAAAACTAAAAAGCAGAAGCAGCAATACTGTAGGGGCCTAAATAGTTACCACTACTATTTTGGGGGTTCCTTATCATAATTATAGTACAATGGGCCCCAAAACCCTATTTGAATTATTCAGGCCCCTATATTAAGCCTGAAACGGAGGGGCCTGATCGGGCTCAGAGTTCGGAGCTATGGAGCACATGCTTCACTTGGCGGAAGGTATGGAACCAAAACAGGATGGTTTAGGGATGGCCATCTTTCGTCAACGGTACGAATGGTGCGCAGCAAATATCTGTAACAGTCTTCGCCTTGTGGATAGTGACACTGTGCTTGTGATGGCGATCATTGTTCTGCATCCAGGCGCACACTGGGGCGAGGGGGGGGACGATGTCGTCTTCAGACAGTCGGACAGCACAGCTACAGGCTGCATCACGAACTAGTAGCCTGGGCAGCTCTGGGTCCCGGGTCGGGTGGACCGTGGTCCAATCGCATTGCATTACCGGAAGCTACGCCCTAAAGGTCAACATGTATGCCCAACAGTACTTTCAGAGGGCGATGACAGGCACTATGATACATGACTGCATATACAGCATCGCTAGCGCCGGTGGCGTTATCTGCGGCTGCAACCCGAAAAAGCTTAAACCCTAAACCCTAACCCCCTAAACCCAAAATCCTAAACTCTAGCCCCCTAAACCCTAAATCCTAAACCCTAACCCCCTAAATTAGTGGAAGAGCAACCGGCCTCTGCAGAGAGCCGGGATGCACTGCTGGCAGACTGGTCCTTCAGATTCCCTAAAGCTCCAGGTGCCCATATAGTATATACTTAGGCCTTAAAGTACCTACATGGGAACCCCTTTAAGGCTTAAGTATCTACGAAAAAGGTAAATGGAGCCTTTGGGATTAGCTTCACACGACAACTGAGGAACATGAAGCGAAACAGTGAACTCGTCAATAACTTGACGAAGCACATTTTCCCCATTCTACTGACAGGGTGTATTGGACTATGCAGTATGATAGTAATTTCGAAGTTACGATACTACAATATACTAACATGTGTATATGTAATATATACACACTATGATGTACTATCATATCAAACAATAACGTTTGAAGTATCGCACAAAATGAAGAAGGGGTCAAAATCATCGAGAAGTAACAATGTGGGGAATCCTCCCGCTACACCGTCTGTTCAGGTCACCCCTCGAAGCAGGCTCAGAATGATTCTGACATGTCGAGATGGTCATGCGACAGAATTCGCAATCTTTCTCGGCGTCTCCATTCCCCCTCTCTCACTCAAGATGCTCCTGCTTCGGCTCTCTCTTGCGGTCCGCTTCCGGCACCTCGCAGTGTCAGTCGAAGTCTGCATCTTAGGCATGGCGAGATTTAGACGAGGGAGACCTTGGCAGCCGCCAGCGAGTCTGCTTGCGGTCCTCTTGCTTGGCTGTGTGTGTGGGGCCTCTGTACATGGAGAAGCACGGAACAGACTACATCGTTGCGGGGGTATCCCAGGAAAAAGGTGAGCTGAGCCCGACTCAACCCAAAAGGTTGTATAAGCCCTGCACCCCACATAGCCCTAGACTCGCTGAGCACCCAAGCCATGAACCCCACATAGGCGAGAGCAATGTTTCGGGACGGGCCTCTGCATGCGGTCTTTGCGCAGCAGCGCTGCTGGATGTGCTGGATGTGGAGGAGTCCTTCAGGCTAACGAGGCTGCGGCTGGCGCGATACACGGAGATTTCTTGAACTGGGGGGGGGGGGGGAGTATGTACCTTGTAGCTAGAGGTGCTTCTATTGGAAATACCAAGGTTTATAGGCGTCTATCCTGATTTTATTGCCCGGTTCTCCGACATTCGCTCTCGACACAGCCGTTAGGGTAACCACCGAACGAAGCACACCGCCGGTCAAGGGTTTTCGGGTGGTAGGGCTTCGGGTGACTAGCTATAGAGTGCTATTCTAAAAAGCTATAGGGGTGAGAATGCAAAGTGGAACTTCCTCTTCCACTTGCAGGAACAAAATGAAAATCGCTCTATAGGCTTTTTCGGTTTGAGGTTCAAGAGGATGACACAGCCTGTGAACACTGCCCGCATCCAGCTTTGTCCTCAGCTCTTTGTGGTAATATTATTGCAACCCTAAACGCCCAAAACACTAAACCCTAAACCCTATAGACCCTTTTCAGCATGGGCTTGGATTGTATCCCAGCATGTGGGAGTTTGCGAAAATGGGGCACCCTAGTAGAGTACCCTAAATAGTAGGATCCTTATTATAAGGACCCCAAAGTAAGGCACCCCTAATTTTCGGAAACCCCCTCTAGGGCTCTATACCCGAACCCCCCAAACCCGAAACCCAAGACTGGACCGCGGCGTCCTGCTTGTCCTTAGACTCTTTCGATCGGCTAGGGCTTGTCTCAGCCTGCAGCTCAATTAGGAACCACACAAAATTATAGTATCATCCTTATGGGACGGGGGCCAAAAAAGGGGGTAGATAACTCACTAATCCCTAGTTCTCCTCCCTAAAGGACCCTATACCACAGCAAATCTCATGCCCCTACTTGTCAAGTACCCCGAGGAACTAAAGGTCATTCTTTGGGAGTATATTGGGATTACAGTACACCAAGAAGGCTAAAGGTTATCTAGTCTACTACTAGGTGCTCAGTAGCTGACTTGGAAGACTTATTAGACATGCAGTACTCAGCACTTCATGCCCAACAACTAAGTGTTCCAGGTCAGGCCTCATGATTCGGCTCCCTTCGAGGATTCAGTTGTTGCAACAGACTCCCCTGTTTTTTGAAAGATGTCCTCACAAGAAACCCAAATCCAAAGCTACTACCTCGTCCGCGGCAAGGCACCTGCTTCTCACTGGCCGGTTGGGCCTGCTTCCCGTGCCCGGCATCGGTAGCCTTAGTCTCCTAAACCCTAAACCGGTAGCCCCCGGGATCGCCATAAACTCCAAAACCGCTCCACAGCTGCGACATCCGTGCACTGCCCGCCGCACCCGCGAACCGTGAAAGGAGAACCGGAATACCGCTCTAACTCACTTAGGTTTCCTTTAAAGGTTGGGTATATAAGGGGTACTGTAAGGGTTCCTTTAACGGGCTCTATAAGGGTTTTAGAGCTTGAACAGATGCCCACCTTCGCCTCTGCCATCGGGGCGGCGAGGTCACCAAGAGCAGCATCCAGCTCTCTCCGGGCAGCCTAAAGCTTTTTCTGATGGGTTTAGGTCTAATGCAGGGGCCTTAACAATTAGAATAGGCTGTTGGGGCCCATTATACTGTAAATATAATAAGGAAACCCCTAAAATAGTGTAAGTAATTATTGGGGTCTTTGGGGTATCGGCTCGACTTGGGTATACGCGCTCTCACACTCGAAGTCAATGGGGCGCCTCACCCCGGGAGCACACCAAAACACCCCCGTCGAACAATCCCCAAGCCGAAGGCCATCTACAGCTCAACCCTTACACTTATGAGGCCAAGAGCCCTAAGTCCTGCGACATAAGCAGGTGAATTGACTGAGCTAACCCCATATGGCAGCTATACTTCATTCCTACAACTACGGGTCTTTTTTGCAGTGTATGGTTTTGGGACGTTTCAGGCATATAATGTTCTACATTCTCACAGTCAGGAGCGAATACCTCAAGCCCTCCATCGGCGCTCCTTTACAAGTACACTAAACGTCAGCATCGTCAAAACCCAACCCCAACGCTAAACCCTAAACCCTAAACCCTGAATCCTAAACCCTAAACCCTAAACCCTAAACCCTAAATCCTAAACCCTAAACCCTAAACCCTACCAGCATAAAGACCTCGGACGACAAGACTCCCGAATCCTGAATGCAAAGACTGGGCTTTGAAGTAGCCAGGGAGAAAAGAGTATAGACTTTTGTTTCATAATACGGGATGCGTCTGTCGACTCTGCTATCCGAAGCAATGCAAAAAACAAAATCATAATACAGAGGTCCCCAAAATAGTATTATCTTAAAGTATGGTACTCCAAAGCCCAGAGAAACGGAGAAAGCCAGGGTTCTGTTTTGGCCTGGGCCAGACTATGACCCGCTAGTAGTGGTGATAAGCAGAGTACATCCACGTGGTAGTGGCAACCACAGACTTAACGGTTTAGGGCTTGAGGGCTGAGGGTACGAGTACATATTGAGACATACCAGGCCAAGCAAGGGCTGACCATCGACGAATGTGGGGAATCGCCCGCATCTCAGCACCACCGGTTCGACCCCCGATGCCCCCTATCAGCGCAGACTCCTGTTCAAACCCAGCTTGAAATTCTGTGAAGTGATTTTGACATTGTTGAGCGCCCGGGAGGGGGGAGGGGGAAAGATGACTGCACCAAATTCTCTGCAAAAACCACACGTCCCAAGCCCTCAAACCCAAAAGAGCAGCTTGGTTTTGCAGGCCAGCCTACACCCTAAAGCCCTGTTTCTTGCCAAGCCACCAAGAAGCCTCAAAGTTGGCCACAAAACCTAATCAGCCTGAAACCACATTGGTAGTTGTCAAAATTATGGTCCCTTTTTGGGTACCCTAAATATTTTGAGGTGCCGTATTATAGTAAGGACCCCAAAAGGGACCATAATAATGACAACCACCCACATGCATGCCAAGTACAGCAAACAGGAGTGCGAGCCTCGCCGAGACCTCCCAGCACCTTGGCCTCCTCCAGGTCAATCTTGGCCTAGCCCAAGGCGGTCCAAAGCTCAAATCGGGGGGTTTCAGGGTGGTTTGGGGCTTGGGGTTTGAGGGATATTGGGCTTGAAGGCTCTTGGGGGTTAGGGCGTGGGGTTTCGTTGGTTTTATGGAGTTTTATCTGGGTTCTACAGGCTTGGCTGGGTGGAGGTCTCTGTCTTGAAAAACGGCTTGACGGTGTGGGTTTGGGTCTTGGGGCTTTCGGGTCTTTGCGTGCTAGCGTCCAGAGTTTTAGTTTACTAGCATCCAGACAACAACTGCAGGGCTTTCTCAGGCAATGCTTGTGTGTGCGTGCATGAGTGGCTAGGCCCTTACCATGGAGCAACCTTAAAACTCGAAAAGGTCCGAACCTCTAAAACAAATAACCCACATGACATGGCACAAACACCGCGTAAGCCTAGACCCTAAACCTCTACAGTAGAAACCCAAAAGTTGGAAACCTAATAGCCTCAATCCTTAAGAGTAATGTAGAGGGAATCCCCGCACTATTTGGCCTTAATCTGGTTTCCAACTTTATCCTAAACCCTAAACCGTAGCGGTTTCTCAACCCTAAACCCCTGAAGGTCGGGATGCGACCCGAACCCCAAACCATCGAAGGCCACGTCTCTGAACCCTAACCCTAAACTGAAGTCCTGGAGAAAGCCCTTACCGGCCCTATGTACGCAAAACTCTTTGCCAATCGTCGAGGCTCCTTTGTTGTTTTACGACTGTACGAAGAGATGACTGCAAGATACCCCTGCTCCGTCTACCAGGCCACCAAAACAGCCTCTTCCACCTATTACCCTAAGGCCCCAAAGTAGTTCCTTTTTGGGGTTCATATATAGAATTCTATAGGGTAATCCCAAAAAGGAACTACTTTGGGGCCTATGGGTAAGGCCTCGACAAACTTGTACGATGACTTGGCGCCGGCTCTTATCCCAAGAATCTTCTGAATCCCAAAAGCCGACATTCTCGGGGTTTATGTTTAGGAACTCAAATCAAGCTACCATAATGAGGACACCATATCATTTACCATAGACCCCTATCATGCTAGCTTAAATTAGACCCTTTATCAACTCACTGGCCCAAAAACCCAGGCAGATAAGAGTTGAAACTTTCAGAATCGACTACCTTTTAAAAAGCCCAGCAGTTGAAAAGTTGAAGTTACAGCCAACAAGACGACAACTCGAAACTCGAAAGTCCCGGGCCAGGTCGATCTTGCCAAGGGCTTTCTGCGCTAAGCCCTGGACCTCATCTCACGAAACGGCTGACGGTTGTGGGTTTAATCTATATAGGATTCAGGAACGTTTAGGCTGTAGGGTTTATATATATATATATATATATATATATAGGCCGTTTAGTGTACCCAATACCCGCGGGTGCAAGGCTGAACAATTTTTTTGAATCGGCCTTGAAGGGGTTTTATAGGGATTTGCATGGGCGTAGGGGATGCAGTCTGTATTTTGTGAAGGTGACTATATAGCTTTACAGGGCCTTCTGTGTGTATGCATGTGTAACTACAACTTATGTGTATACACACAAAAGGGACACAGTAACTACATGACTAAATAGTATGCAAGGTTTGGCTTTGGCGGCACGGTATAGGTTGCTGAAGTAGGTGAAAGGGACTGTTCAACTTTCCCTGGAAAACCTCAATGGAGTTTGGGAGTTGAAGGCTCGAGGTTCGGGGCTGCGTCTCGATGACTCTAGCCGCTATTAACCCAAAGAGTATGCTTCATCAAGATGTTGGGGCACTTCGAAGAGCAAAGAGGATTGGGCAAGCCCCTAAACCCTAAACCCAAACAGCAAGAAACCAACGAGGATACCTCCGTCCATAACCCTCAAGGCGCCAACCGAACTTTCCGGCTTGCGGCGGCACGGTGAACCCACCGTGCCAGGCCGTCTAAAGATACCGAAGGATGAAGAAAACCTATCGGTAAAGCCCGATGGCCCCTCATGAAGTTCTGAAGAGAAACTATAATATAGGGGCCTTAACGGCAAGAATGGAGTTTTGGGGCCCATGATACTATAATCAAACAAACATTACAATAGCGAACCCCCCACTAAAGCATTGGTACTTATTTAAGCCCGTATAGCAGGTGGCTCATGCAGAAGAGTTCCATAAGCAAAAGGCTCAAGGAAACCTGAGGCTGGCCTTCGATTCCTGCGACCTGCCTTGCGAGAAGCTACTTAATTCCCTCAGATTCGGGTGCTAAGAAAAAGTCGCCGAATCGTCTTCTCCAAACCAAGGATCACGAACACCAAACGTATAAAGCCAACACGTGGGAGTTCTCTAAGTTGCTGTCCCTTGAAGCCTTTCTTATCAGGGAGCCGTACTATCGTTGGGACCTAAACAGGGACCCTGTTTCGGAGAACTGCCCACATGATGGCCGACTCTATTCTGCACCCCTACACTCTCAAAAGCCCCACACACCACCGAAAAACGTGACCCGAAACGGCATGTGCAGGAAGCGCCGAGCTATGCCCATCAGAGCAACCCGAAGAAAACCTCGCTTCGCGCATCCAAACACCCCGATGCTTATCTGGCTCCTGACAATCCTAAACTCATTTGGCAGCCCTTGTACCAGAAGCAGCTCTGCATGTCTGGCACCAGTGGTCGCCTTCAGTACATGCAGAACCGCGAGCAAATGGCGTGTTAGAGTCGATAGAGCTTTGAGGGTTTGAGGCTAACCCTAAGGTTCAAAATGGCCCAAAAGCCTTATATTATATAATATGGTCTTTAAGCCCAAAAGCCTGATATTATATAATATGGTCTTTAAGCCCAAAAGCCTTAAAATATGAGTCCTTAGAGCCTTAGGCTCAGGGCATCCTCGGCCCGAGGCTCTTCGACCGGAAACTGTGGAGGAGGGTTTCGTACACCGGCGTACCCGAAAGAGGCGACAGCCTCACTCCCAACTCCAAACCCATTGTCACGAAGACTGAAGTCATGACCCAATCTGATTCAAACTGTTGAGCCAGTAGGGTTTGGACTCATATGCAATGACCCGATTTTAAGCTCGTGTATGCTTATACGCTAGACCCTGTCGAGCCGTGCAAAAATAATCCGGCCACCCCACCATGAACGTGGTGCAGAGTTCCAGTGTGTCGGCGGGATTCTCCTCGAAAAGGTGGATCCTGCCAGGAACTCACAGAGTGGCTCCACAACATTATATACCCCTTTCTAAACTCTGTAAATTTGCCTTCAGCCCTTAAACAAGCCCAAACTTCAACCCTGCCATAACCCTAAACCCTAAACCCTAAACCCCTACACCCTAAAGCATGCCTGAAATGACTGTCTTGTTGGTGCCCGTCGTACTTAGGCCAGCCCGTCCTGGCCAAAGCGACAGCCCACAGCCTTACAAGATGAAGGCTTACCCTAAGGCCCCAAAGTAGCTAAGTAGTTCCTTTTTAGGGTTCATATATAGAATTCTATAGGGTAACCACAAAAAGAAACTACTTTGGGGCCTATGGGTACGGCACAACTCGTTCACAAACAGGGGTCGGAGGCTTGATTGGGTTCTAGACGTTGGGATTGTATAGATCCGACTGGCCAACGGCGACATCATGCAGGTGTGTTTGAGCTCGTGAGTCATGAGGATAAGCAGAAAATTTGAAGTTTAAAAATTGACCTGTAACACGGCCACCAAATCTACAGTAGGTGATTGCCGGTGAAATGTCCGTGACCTGCACACGCAAACCCTGAAATCCCTAGACTTGAACGGTCAACCCATGAAACCCCTTTCCTGGCTCCAGCTTGCAAAGCTTCTGCTGGGAACCGGCAACCGTAAAGACGCTACAGCCAAAACCCCAAAACCCTAAACTAGACAAAACCCTCTGTAGAACCCTCCCAGTAACCCTGAACCCTAAAATCGCGAAGTACAAAGAACCCTCCTTGCAATCCTTAAATCCTAAACTCTTTTTTGCATCCGGGCTGTGAAGTTCTGGCAGGACAGGCGCAGCAAACCCTTGAACTTACGCTCGACAGCCTTGCGAAACCATGCATCGACCCAAAAACCCTAAACTAGATGGCTTACCTACTAGATGGAAGGTAAACCCTATTCCGCAAACTCAGAGTAACTCTACTAGTAATCCTTACAAGTAATCCTTACAGTACCCCAACCGAGCTGCGCTGTAGCCGGATCCAACTCCCGCAATTTCCGAAAGCTGCCTTTGGCCTCTGCACGCAAAAGAGGCTTTGAACCAAGGAAGTTAGGATGACAGCGCTTGGGGTTTAGGGTTGTTGTGCTTTAAGGCTTTGTTTGTGGACGGATACACCTGTAATGCCTTGCAGGCTGAGCCAAAGCGGCGGGAACGGTGGCTTCCCTGCACTGGTGGATTCGCACTCAAAACGTTTAGGCTTTAGGTTTGCTCATCTGTCACGCACTCCATGCGTGCCAGGGCCTGGGTGAAACAAGTACGGAAACCGGCGGTTACCCTGTCCTGGACCGTACCTCTATGATGCAACCCTCCAGCCTCAAGCTCAGCATCTGGCTGAACGACGAGGATCGAGACTCTGGAACAGTCCAAACCCCAAATTGGGTTTCGGCGCTCACACTCGGACAATCCACCAAATTGGCTTTAGGGTTTAGGGTCAACGGCCTCATACATTGTCCAGCCAGCAAGCTCACAGAACCTACGTCTCCAAGTTACATGTTCTCCCAGCCACGACTTTCCAAGGAAACATCTGGGCTAAATCGCAGAAAATCACGGACCGAAATTCAACACTCCACGTCAAGACCGAAGGCCCCAAACCCTGAACTTTTATCCCAAGAAGGGATCAAGAGCGTCTCGCCGGGCCTCGGAGACGTTGCCCTTTTTCCAGGCAAGGGACGCTTGAGCCCCGAGGGCACAAATGTCCTCCGGGCTAAGCCTCGTGTGGGTTTGGGGCTTACGCACTAACATGTAGAGGTTTAGGGTTGAGGGCCTTTCAGCATGAGGTGTGACGAGCTGTTGTGAAGCTCGAAGTTGGAATGCGTATATTGCATCGTGCAGGGTCCGTGCGGTCCCTGTAGCCCAAAGGCTACGGAGCAAGCCTGTACCACAGGCAAACATGACAGGTGGTCAGTAGTCAGTGTGCGACGTGTGGCAACACTTGAAGAGCCTGGGAGACCTATCGATGATGAGGAGGGCGAGCAAGCGTTGGAAAATAGCATCTAGAGCACTGCCCGTCCGCCTAAGCCCTTGAGTCATACTCTATAGGCCTTATAGAATTGGTGTTGTTGCACCCACCCGGCCGTGCCGTACACACCCCTCATGCCCAACTCAAGCACGAAGGGTTTCGGGGATTAGGAATTTAGACTGGGTTCTTGGAGGATGTGAGCCCCGTTCCCGAATCATATAGTCCCTGAGGAATCAAAACCACGACTAAACCCTAAACCCCTTCCCTGTTTTGAACCTGCCTGGGGCCAAAAGGCTTCCCTTAACTCCTATTTCAAACCCTGAAGCCGTGAAGCCAAGAGTTCTAAACGACGCCTAACCCCGAAATCCTAAATCCGATCACTAGCCTAAAACTCCAGGTGCCTAAATTCATGGGTCATTGAGCTACATACTATATATATATATATATATATATATGGGAACCAACCTACTATCTACTAAGTAACTGCTGCCCTAGAGCCCTATGGTACAAGCCGAAAAGTTTCAATCCCTAGCCTCAATCCTGAAGAGCAATGTATAGGGAATCCCAGCACTGTTCAGCCTTAATCCGGTTTCCAACTTTATGGGGTTTACTGTAGAGACAGCCAGCTTCAGCCCAGTGGCTTCTGCTCCTTCTGGGGGAGCTTCGAACGTAGGTCCTCGGCCTGAACTCCCCAAACCCTAACCCTAAGGCTCAAAATGGCCCACAAGCCTTGCATAATGTGGTCTTTAGCCTAAAGACCACATTATCCAAGGCTTTTGGGCCATTTTGAGCGTCTTTAGCCCAGAAGCCTTAAAATATGAGTCCTCAGAGCCTTAGGGTAAACCGTAAACTCTGACTCGCAGGTTTCGCGGTTTTAGCGTTGTGGTTTGTAGGGTTCAACGGTATAGGCTTTAGGGATGTGGGGGTTGAGGATTTCAGGGATTGGGGCCTGACAAGTTTTAGGTTTGGTAGGGTGTGGGTTGGTTGTCTTGATCTGGAGACAAGTTCACGACAAAGGGGCCTTGAACACAGGCGTGCCAACAAGAGTGTGTTCCGTGCTAGCGGATGGATGAGTCGGAAGTCAGTGTGAAAGCTGAAAACTTCACAAAATGCTGAAGGGCGAGCCCATGATGGCCGATCATCGGTGTCACCGGGACGCCACCGATGCTACTAGACTTTTGCTTTCGAGAAGCCTTATGGTGAGATATCATGTGGATTTCGACGATGAAGCCATGGACTATGAGCCTCTGAACCCCCAGTTGATTTTATGAAAGGCTACACCCCACAGCCTGGACCCTTCTGACAGCCACTTTTGCCACATCCCCTACGTCTTGATCGGGGACCTCCCGCCGTTGGGCGGACGTCAGCGGGGCCCGCTCCACCTCTTGCAGCTGAGCGGTTTGGGCTCCCACAAGGCAAGCGGCAGGCCTGTGGGCTACCCATAGGCTCCATAGTAGTTCGTTTTTGGGATTGCCTTATGGGATTCTAAATATGGGCCCCCAAGAAGGAACTGCCTTAGAATAACTCCACAAGCCTCGGGGCAACTGGGAGTGGGGTTTCGGGATGCGCAATTGATATGGGATCCACGGCAAGATGAATACAGTCCTGACGCCGCCCAGATTATATGGTACGCACCAATCTTTCCCGAAACTACTGAAAAACCAACGAATTCTCGTACAGCCCCCCTAGACAACCCAAAACCGTTAAAACCCAAAACCCTGAAGCCGCTCAGCACGGGCTTTGGGTGTGCGCCGGCTAACTCTCTAAACCGTAAAATTAAACCCTACTAAAACACCCTAAACACTGAACTCTAAACCCTACACCCTAAACTACAAAACCATCAACCCTGAAATCTAAACCCTAAACTGAAAAAACCCTAAACCCCTAACTCTTAACCCTCAGCCCTAAACCGGCCCTCTTTTGTGCCTCCAGGAGGGCGGCCTCGGCCCCCAGATCTCCCAGGGCCACGAGGGCCCGCGCTCGCAGGAGGGCAGCCTCGGGACTCCTCGCCGGAGGGAGGGGAGACGAAGGTTTCTATGAGCTTTTTCCTAAGGCCCCAAAGTAGTTCCTGTTAGGGTTCATATATAGAATTCTGTAGGGTACTCCCAAAAAAGAACTACTTTGGGGCCTATGGGTTTCAGGGGGTTTTCTCTGGGGCTTTTATAGGGGTTCAGGGATGGTTTCTATACGGGCTTTATAAGGAGTTCTAGATTCTAGGGGTTCTAGAAGGTTCCATCAGAATTTACGTAACATGATGGTGTTGGGGTTGATAAAGTTGATAAGTCTTTTCGGGGTGTGGTGTTGAGTGTTCAGCATATGGGGCTGGGTTTCGGGTGTTGCAAGGTTGAGATGAGCTGAAGGTTGACTTGCTTACCAGCAGACTTCAGGTGCTTACCTTTTCTAGGAGATGGTACTATTTCTGCACAAACAAAGATGATGGGCCACTGTTTCAGTTGGAGCCTTTAGACAACTGCCCCGGGGCAGCTTCGAGCTTAATTTCGTTCTGATGAGATGCTGCCGGGTGTGCGAAATTGCAGAAATACTTTCTGTGTGGTGGACTGTTCCTGGATTCCGTGGACATATGTTCCATGGCTCCAGTGGTTTCTGTGGGTACTGTATGCCTCTATTTTCAGATATAACGTAAATTCACGGAGCAGAGACCAGAGGCGGAAAGGTTCAGTCTAGGAATAATCATAATAATAATAGTAGTAATAATAATAATAATAATAACAATAATAATAATAACAAGCCTCATTGCCTCGGCTTCCTGTTCGAGGCCTAAAATGTTGGTTAAAGCCTAGGTTGCTTGTTGAGCTTAGGGTTTAGTTCGGGTATTCGCTGTAAAGTTCTGGTACAAAGAATTCCAAACCCTGGGCTTCTTATTCTTTTGTAAACTTTTTTCTCTTTCCCTCCCATCCTTGGCTGGAGCTCTAGGGCGCGCCGGGCATCGGACAACGCCTGGGGCCGTGGACTCCCCAAGCACGTTACGGCAGCTTGCAGAACGTGTAGGAACTCCAGGTGCTCGGTGCGGTTGGGCTAAAACCACAAGCCGAACGCCAGGAAACCGGCAGCACATGACTTTTTCTGCCGGCGCAGGCAAAGTCCAAAATCTCGATGTGAACATGCAATCCCGATACCTCTGAATCACAACATTTCTCGCATCGATGCTCGAAAAGAACTTAAACCGAAGTTCCACGCAACCCAGCTTCCAACCACACCTCAACACCCTGAAGCTGTCCAGGCTTGGCCTGACTGTTGTCGCCCGTCTGCAGTCTCCTTGGATCCCAGTGAAAAGACTGATAAACACGCTTGAGGTGAGAGCTACTGTTGATGATATAAATCCTGCATTACCTGAGGGACCCTAAACTATGGGAGTTATGGTATATTCCTTATTATGGGTAATGCAGGATGTATATCATCAACCGTAGCTCCGGGATAGGGATCAACAGTTCGAGTCGAGGTCTCTAGAGGCCCGCGGTGCGACAAGAAGCAGTGGACGTGCCGCCACCACATGTCTCCCACTGTGTGGCCCCGGTTTACCGGCCTAATCGCTGAAACGGAATGCCGCAACTCGTCGCCATGTAAGATTCCGGCAGCAAGACCGCAATCCTGTAGACAACACCCACAATACCAACAACGACAACGACAACAGCTACAGCAACAGCCACGGCAGCAAGCAGCAACAGCAACAACAACAGCAACAAGCACAGCAACAAGCCCAGCAACAGCAAAAGCAACCACTACAACAACAATAGCAGCAGCCACAACCACAACCACAACCACAACCACAACCACAACCACAACCGCAACCACAACCGCAACCACCACCACCACCACCACCAGCAGCACCACCACGACCGCAACCACAGCAAAAACATGAGAACGGCACAATGCAACAACAAGTAACAAGTATCACAACAACTACTGCTGCAATTATTTGTACTACTAGTACAAGTACTAGTACTAGTACTCGTACCACTGCTACTACTACTACTACTACTACTACTACTACTACTACTTCTACTACTACTACTACTACTACTACTACTACTACTACTACTAGTACTAGTACTAGTACTAGTACTAGTACTAGTACTAGTACTAGTACTAGTACTAGTACTAGTACTAGTACTAGTACTAGTACTACTAGTACTAGTACTACTACTACTACTACTACTACTACTACTACTACTACTACTACTACTACTACTACTACTACTACTACTACTAGTACTACTACTACTAGTACTACTACTAGTAGTAGTAGTAGTACTACTACTGCTGCTACTACTGCTACTACCACTACTACTACCACGACAAAGAACTGCAATATATTGCGATGTAGCAACAGCAACATCTTGCAAACGGTGAAGCTCTCAAAACACCCTAGCACACGAAACCACTCTGCGTGATGCAAGACAGGCCAAAACCCGGAAGTGCAACGGTGCTAGAACTGTGGCAGCTTTGTAAGACTAAATGCGAAGGTTAAGACGGTTAAGAGGTGCAATACGACAGCCAAATAGCTCTTAAGATCAACATCTCTGGGACCAGCCACTGACGCGCCCTCAATGTCCACCAGACGGCGGAGCGCTCCTCAAGGGCGACCAGATCCTCAGATGACCCTGCAGTGTTGCTCTTTCCCTACGGGTCGTCGTATGGGGTTTCACAGTGGTTTTGGGAGAGGTCCAGATATACATACAGTACATATTCTGATGCCAAAGTACCTATACTGTGGGAGCCACTTCCGGTCAAAGTATATACACTTTATGTTATACATGGACAATAGGGTTTCCCTAATTCTGCTATAGAGAAGCACTTGGCTGTCTTGTCAATCTGACTTGGAAGTTGAGTGAGGCTTCCGGTGGGCGCAGGGTCAACATAACGAATGCGTCATATGGGTCCTCAATAATACGGGCGCCCGTTGACAAGCATTCCCACTATGTTCGTGTCTGTGGAGCGTCGGTCAGCGCCTCTTCTGCATCAGAATCCCGGCCGTCTCGAGCAGCCTGGAAAGTAAGACGACAGAGTCCAGCATGCTTTTCGAGGAACCGCGCATCTCTTTGCTTCGCATACTGATCTCAAACGAGGAAGCACATGCCGCAAAGGCACAGGAGCCACTAAGCCACTATTACAGGCGTAAGACGATCGAAAAACGGACAACCTCACAGCTATGATCGAAGACTGCCACGGCCGTTACCTTTCTCGATGCTCGTCATATCTCGTCATGTGCAGATGTAACTTGAACGAGAGCGTCTTCACTTATGCAGTCTTGTCCTTTGTGATCATGGCTGGTAGCTTCGGGTCAACCCAGCGGCCTAAACCATTATGCTCACCATGCACATGCAGACAGATACCTACAGCAAACACACAGAACTAAGACCGTGAACGAGAATCTTTGAACCCGAGACTAAAGGGCCCAAACTCAGCTCAGGCCTGGATGACAGCGGCTGCCAAAGTGCACACATCTTTCCCGGCCATGGTGGACGGCTTCGGCTTTGCGGCTCCAGGGTGTTGGGGTTGAGGCACTTGGCCGAAACGATGCAGAACAGCATGATGGCTTTGAAATAGTTTTGTGGCAAAAAAACAAGACTTGGGATTAGGCATATTATGAAATAGTCGCGATACAGAACCCAAAGGACGAATATATGTACTTGTTCAGCCTCCTATACCAGGGCCGCGGCTATTTGTTGGTGCCAGACTTTCGAGTCAGTTTCCTTTCATGACATTCAAAGTCTGAGGCAAACATATCAGCTCTGAAACTGTGGAAGTGCTCGCCAAAGATTCTGGCACACACTTACAATATGCAATGACGCACGACACGACAGACCATAAAGTACTGTGCAAATCTTCGCCGACATCAAACGCGACCCTACACCCGTATGGGAGTTTCCGAAATGAGGGTTACCTTGTTTTGGGGTCCTTGTAATAAGGATTGTTACTATTTAGGGTGCTATATTGAGCCTGTGGCAGCAGAATCTTCGACTCGCATGGCCTACAGTGAACCCCATACAGTTCAGGTCACCATCCCGACCTTCAAGGGTTTAGGGTTGATTTAGGGTTTAGGGTTTAGGATAAAGATGGAAACCGAATTGAGGCCAAATAGTGCTGGGGTTCCCTATACATTACTCTTAGGGATTGAGGCTATTGGGTTTCCAACCTTTTGGCTTCTGGTGTAGACCCCCAGCAGCCTGCGTCTGAAGCTCGGCTCTGATGGCTTTATCAAGACCTGCGTTCGTGTAGGGCCCCTCTGAATTCAAAAATTAACCCTAAGGCTCAAAATGGCTTTAGGCACAAAAGACTTAAGATATGAGTCCTCATAGCCTTAGGGTAAGGTTTGTAAGCACGTAGAACGAAAGTAGGCTATGGTAGTCTAAGGTAATATTGCAATACATTGAAAAGGTAGGACATAGGTCCATAGGTAAGACCCTCGAAGGGACGCGCTGGGTACGATGCTCTGAACAAGCACGATAACAATTAAGGCTGAACTGTTCTGAAACAATTTCCCACGCACATGGGAAAGTTCGGCCGGGCACCGCCACTCAGTCTGCAAAGGTGCCAGCTGGAGCTGCGAGAACAACTCTCTTTCGGAATGGCTGACCGGATGGAAACAGAGACATGAATCTCAATCTCCTTCTCCCTGGCAACGTACGTCGTGGCCTGATCGACCAAGGGTGGGCATCGGTGCACAAGGATCTAGTGCAATGTAAACTTCCGGGGTCCGAAGAAGGTCAACCTCATGCCCTGCTGTCAGTTGATCTGCTGACTGAGGCGGCCTGCTTGCCTTACAGCAATAGTGCATCTGTTCCTGTGTAGGTGCACATTCAAGTACATGGAATTACTGCGTGCAGGGGCATCATCGGTCTCTGTCTATGCTTGCCACTTGTCCCTGTTGTTCTGGACCTTCGGTGAAGATGAGCTTGTGAGATCACCGGGCTTCAGCATCTGATTTCGAGTTCCGAGGTCGGCCCAAACTGCAATCCCCAAGACAGATACCTCAGAAAACATGCACCCGTGTGCACATGCTGACTTGGGATGGAGGGCTTGCAAGGAGAAGTGGAAATCGGGTTTGGCAGTAGTACAGTACCTGGTTGAAACCCTCTATCCGACTCTATCCATCATGCCATAACCGTTCATACACCATTTTTGCCATGCCGTCCTGGATGGACCAGTGACGATATGGTCTGTGACAGACGTGCTCTGTGCTTGCTCTGTACAAGGGGGCAGAGCACCGATCCGGGTCCCGTCGCCGGTTGCTAAGATTGATCCTTCCAACCCAGCCTAACGATTGCCGGCGCAGCTCAACTTGCTGGCGCTAAAACATTGCAATCGTGAAGTCCTACGTGCTCCCCGGAGGGAACCAACGAATACACACCCCAGACTTCATTACGTCGGGGAAGAGCGGACGGTGAAACGACGCAGGCGCTCAAGCCCACGGAAGCAAAACAGCCAACATATCAGAAAAGCAAAGCAGCACCACAGGAAGCAGGGTAGCATGCCCATGGCCCGCGCCAACGCGGAAAGCTCATCGCCCGCGTAGTATAGCCCAAAGAAAACGAGGAAGATGGCAACTGACTGTGTGAAATCGCATATCCCAAGCCTCCTAGCTGCAAACCGATCGCAAAGATAGAGCGTCAGCTTCACGCAGGGTAGGAACCAGAAGAACTCCAAACCAAAAGTTCCACCCACAAGCTGCTTCACTACGACCTCCACGGGAGCACCACCCGCCCAAAGAGCTGATAGTGTGGTGAGGCTGGAGCTCATAGCACCCAAGATGATGAGTAGAAGGTAGGGCAAGGGCATATTGGGCATTCCAGAGCTTTTCAATAGTTCAGACCTCAGTGGCCCACGGACGTAGGCCGTGAATGCCTCCTTGCTACCATACCAGTGTAGAATCCCTGAGACGATGAACTGTCGATCGAAGTCCGAACTGCATTGGGCCTGGTCCAAATCGAAAGAGTCCAGCTCGGACACCAAGCGATGCTTCGTGCGGACGTGGAGGCGCATGAAATGCACGACGACAATGGTTGGGGAGATCCTCGAACAAATATAGACCAGGCAGCAACCAGAGCTTGGAGTTTGAGGTCTAGAAGCAGACAACGGAGATGCTCTACAATCATGTATTCCTATACAGTCTAATATTTTCGCTTCGGGTAAAGTGGGCGCGGACTCGGCGCAACCGCAGGAACCAATGTTCTATCTGCTGCCCAAGGGTGTATATACGACTCAGCAGTCTTGTGGGAAAGGCAGGTATGGCACTGTATGAATTACTACAAATGCAAAGATACAAAACATCAACATATATGAATATGTGTATGTATGTATACATATATATATATATATATATATACATATACATATACATATACATATACATGTGCATGTGCATGTACATGTACATGTACATGTACATATACATATACCTATACATACATACATATATATATATATATATATATATATATTGATTGTCTTGAGTTCATGCATGTAAACGGCAAGGTGCGCGATGCCCCAGC